AACCTCCACGATCCAAATTTTCTCATTCTTATTTGTTGTCTTCTTTGTGCGCATTTTTTCATTCTGACTGTTGTCACTATTTTGTAGTGGTCGGAGTTCAATTCGTCTAACAATTTGTATTCAATGATATCTATTCCATTCGACACGAAGACCATATCCAATACATTGTTCGATCTTTTGAATGTAGTTTTAAATGTATCCGTTATTGGTCTTAAATTGTTTACCTTAATCCATTCTTCTAATATCGTTCTTCTTTGTTCACTACAGTGTTTTCCTGTTTTATTACTCTGCCACAGATTCGATGTGATATTCCAATCTCCAAGAAAGATCGTGTTTTTCCCTCTGTATTGGTTCATTAGCTCCCTGATGATCGCCATACTTTGTATAAATTCCGTCTCTTTACTTTTGGTTACCCCCGGACGCATATAGACTCCCACGATTATTGTGTCTATTTCCATTATTTTCAAAACACAAATTGTTGTCCCTTTGACGAAGATCGGTTTTGCCGTTAAATCTGGTGAAACCATTACCATCTGATCCGCTTTTCCAAACACATATTTGTTGTCGATACTGTTAACCATTACGAACTTATTCGGTTCCGATATTGACGATATTGTTTGAGTTGAGTTCATCGTTCTCTGGATCATTTTATCTGTTGCTTTGGTGTTGCGACCAGCATTTAGGTGGTTTATTTTCACGTAAAACATTTTCACTGTTAAAGTTACTTTTTGTTTATGTTTCGTCTTTATGAACTTTCTTTTATTTTAACTCTTTGGTTACTAGGTAACACTGCCGCCGGGAAATTTAACCTTCATGGATTCCATTCCTGATTATTTTTCTAAAGTTGAGGTTCCTCTGCAGACTCGTACCAGTCTCGTTTCCACTCTTTTGGATTCAAAGTTCGCCCGAGGTTCAAAACAAAATCTTCATCGCGAGTTTCTTACCATTCCCGATTTAGGAATATCCAATCAGAGTTTTACTTATTGTTTACATCGACGGTGTAATCAGATTATTTATATTTGTCGAGTTCAATTCGATTTTCAATCTAAAGTGGTAAGAGGTCATGGAGTCGATCCCACTTTTGGTAGGGCTTATGATATGGCCTGTTCCCAGGTTTTATTATCTATCCTGCGTGATCATCCCTTGCTTATTATGGTAATTTGTGACCTCAGATCGGAGTTAGCAATTCACACTAATCTTTTTCTCTTTCTATTATCTTTCTTATAGCCTAAGCGAGTGGTTCCCTTGCCTAATTGGAGAGGTCATTGTTTCCTTAATTCAGCTTTAATTCCCTTATTCCATTGTCCACTTTTCTTACGTGTATTGTTTCGCTGTTATTTCATGGTTACAAGCGAGGTAAATCTCGGTCGTTTAGCTAAGCCTGTTACTAAGGAAACAATTCTTAAAGAGGGTGAGACACGTTATCTGTGGACTTATTGTTTATATGAGTACCATCGCTTCGCACGTCGAGCTGCTGTTACTCATGATTTTTCAATTCGTAATTTCCCTCCGAATCTTGATAAAAAATTATGGCCTGGTGTTAAGAAAAAGATCCCTGAGAAAGTCAAGCCCACTCTGGATTTGGATCTTGACGATCATCAAACCCGGCTTTTGCGCCATTGTACTGAATTTATTTCAGATGCTTATTCCACTCCAGGTGGAAGCGAAGATGTCATTTACCATGATCTGGTTAAAAAATTAGTACAAGATCATCGATTATTTCATGATCTCATGATGATCACCATTACTGGAAAGTTTTTCTGTCGCCATTGTCGTGGTTCTGGTCTTGATTTTACTCATAGTTTTCCCTTATTCAGGTTAAAGTCGAAGTACCATGAGTCTAAGGATGTCTATCTCATCAGTGAGGCTATTCAGCATCCCAGAACGTGGTTTACCGAGTTAACTCTGACCTGCCCTAATAAGGTTAATGGTTCCATTTGTGGAAGCCGATTCCGTAGTTTAAAGGATGTTGAGATCATTAAGTTACCTGATATTCTGGCTATTTGTCTGGAGGATAGTCTAATCAGTGATGAGGATATTCTAGTTCATATGGAGGAATCTTTTACTATCAATGTTTCCGGAAAGGAGATTAAATATCATCGTTTTGGTTATACCAGTGTATTCCCTACCTTTAAGTGTAATGGTCGTTTTCTCGGTGAAAGATTCCTCATTCCCGAACCTCATTTTGAGAAAGCCGGATGGCATACAGTTATCAATTTAAAAATTGGTGAAGATCTTTATTGTGAAATCAATAATGGAGAAATCTACAGTTCAATGCCTGAATTGCTTCAGTGTTACACTCCCGGTTGTTTGGTTTTCTATCAAACATCTGAGATTTGTTTACCTGTTGTCGAAGCTACGGCCTAATCTGCTTTCGCCTTAGTGTTTTGGATGCCAACCCTGATGTAGAGTCGAACATTTTTCACACAATCCAAATTTAGCCTTACCCATCAATTGTACATCCATGTGTTTTAGTGAAAAGGTAGGTGATTTTTTCTTAAGTGATTCATAATCTTCTAATTTTCGTATGAAGACTGTCACATTAGATTCCTCAATCCCTTCTTTCACCTCTACCATTGAGTCTATGTCTTTCAATTCATCCTTTATTTCTTGTTTCAGGTTCCTGGTATTTGGCGTTTTCCCAGTCATAACGTGCCATCCCAATATCGCTAGATTAACTTCAAACGGTAACATCTCCGTAGTCTCAACAATCGTCTCTACCACCATTGGTCTTATCATTCTGTGAGCCGTTTTTCTCTTCCCAAAGAAAGTTTTCTCTATTTTACCTTTGATTTCTTCTGGTTGTTTCCAATTAAACGTTTTTCCATGAAACATGATGATTTCTTCGTCCCACAAATCGGCGTTAATCGGATCATTGATCTTTCCTTTTTCTTCTATCATTTTTATTATTATCGATTGGGCTATGAGTGCTTCCGATTCCGGATCTTGTTGGACCAGGAAGGAAGTTACTATATTGGCACCAGTCAAGATGTTTTTATTCACTTTCCATTTTTTCTGTATTTCCTCACTCGTTAAATTCACTATATCCGACATAAATTCTTGTAAATTGTTGTTGTTACTACACCAATCTTCAAATTCTTCATTTATTAAACCTTCTTCACTAAGTTTTTCAATTAAATCTTCTGGATTAAGATCCATTTTGTTTCAATTCAACTTTATTTATTTCTTTGTTTAAATGCGTTTTAAACTTTAATTTTTGGCAGAAACGTGTTACAATTGCTTAGCAACCCTTTGGCGCTATATTCATATGGTGAACCCAGTTTTGGGGTTAGCTCTTCACAACAACAGATGTTCATATGGTGAACCCAGTTCGGGGCTAGCTCTTCACATCATCAGATATTCATATTGAAAGTCTATCAAAGAAATTGCCATTTGCAATTCGCTCCGATACAGTGGGCATTCTTGAGAGTAGGCACCATGGTCATTACGGTCACAGGATGCACACTTCATTGAATCGTTTTTGCAATTCACTCTGGTATGTCGTTCAGAGCACTTGGTGCATCTGACCTGGTTAATGCATTTTTTCTTAGTATGTCCAAATTTATGGCATAGTCTGCATGCAATCACATCAAATGAATCCTTAACTTGGAGAAAGGTGTAGCCCACTGAAATTCTCCCTTTAAGCTTTTGCTCAATAATTGACCTAATTGTGGGGCTTACTTCCAAGACCACTCCATATTTTTCTCCTCTTGCCATATCGAACGTATTAGTGATTCGAAATTGTTTATTATCCTTAAATCCATTGAGTTTCATTATTCTGGTTATATAGGTATTCCAAGATTCATGTGATGGAGGTTTTATAAACAATATCTTAATACTTGGCCTTCGCCATTCAGGTATGGTGATTTTCAACTGATTTATCTGTAAACTCTCTTTAATTCTCTCTGGTCTTGTTCCGAATATGTGATGATTAAAGTAAATTGTTTCCAACATATGAGTCTGAATCGAAAGGTTTTACCTAGTCCAGCAATCGCCTCAGATAACGCATTCATTGATCTGAGGTGATCCGGTCCTTCAACTACGATTCTAAAATATCGCTGGACATTTCCCCATTGCCACCATGTTTTGGATTGTAGTGTCTTTGTTTTGGTTGTTATGATATTTAGTGAGCTCTTGAATTTTTCTTGGCTGGAACGATTTCATCAAAATCGGTTGGTTCATCTTCCGCTGATGATGAATCATTCGATTCTTCTTCTATCGCGACTGCAGGTTCGGCACTAGCTTTCACAACATCCTTCTTAAGCCATTTGTTGATGAATCGGACGTTCTTTTCCAGATAGTCCAAGTCTTTCTGAATTATTATTTCATCCTTTTCATTTCTTGGTATTTTTAATGCTTCATTGAATAGTCGCACATCTTCCTTTATTATCACTGTATCCACTTTCGATAACTGCTCTGTTACCCATTGTTTATTCATGTGGTTTTCATTCATTTTTCCAAATATCGCTATCATTCGTTCTTTAGCTTCGTTGTATCTATCCAAATCTATTTGATTAGCTACCTCCGGAAAGATAATCATCTGTAAATACAGTTTTATATAAATTCATTCAATTAGTAAATACAATTCATTATAAATTCAGACAGTGTGATTCCCACGTGTTTAGCATAAATATACGCTCACTATCTTACCTTGGTTCTTTTTCTTCCCATTTTTTCTTTCAGGTTTGTTTTCACTAAACTTATCACTTTTATCAATTATGTTTTATTACAGTTAATTCACTGATTATAATTAATACACAAATGTATTTAATTCACAATTTAAATGAAGAAAATAATGTTAATAAGATCAAAAGATTTAACTTGAAGAAATTGCGACAGAGAAAAAGTGAGAAAGAGAAAAATAAATTGTCTCTTATGAAAGAAAAATCGAGTAGACAGAAAATAGAAAGAGAAAAATGTTGATCCTTTCTGCGCATGCGCAGAGAACATTATCCTGCACATTCGCAGTTCGATCCATCAAAATGGCGACATCAAAATCGAAAGCAAAAGGTAACAATTAAGAGAAAGAGAAAAAGAGAGTAAATCAATTGCAACAATTAAGTTAATTTTTTTTTTTCGTTCAATTTTTAAACAAAAATGAAAATGATTAAAGTTTCTAATTTATTTGGTTCTTTTCGGTGTAAAGGAAGGAACATTTTTCTTCAGCCAACATCATCTGTTTACCCTCAAGTGATTCTTAAAAATAATAGTTCAACAATCACCTTCAAACATTTTACAATAACAAGTAACAACAACAACGTTTGTTATCGTAATTTACATCAACAATCATCAACTGTTTCTTTTTCTAGTGATAATAATATTATTGGTACAATGGGTTTATTACAATCAAAGAATCAACAACAATCAAGGTTAAATGGATGCGCATGTATTTGTAATACTGTTGATCATTATAAAATCTGTGTAACTCAACCAGTTTCATCATCATTATCAACATCATCACCCTCTTCATCACAACTAAATCATAATCATCATCATCACCATCAACAATTACCACAATCAACACCATATCGAACAACTGTATTCTCAGGTAATCCCTACTATTCAAAGGTTAATTCTTGTAATAACAATAATAACAACAACTCACAAGTGAACGGTAAACGTTGGTTCTCACTTGATTCAACCAAAATGTCATCTAAACAATTAACTGGATCTGATCTTATTAAGGATAATCGTCAGAACAAGGTAAGTTGACATTTTCTAATCAAATGAAATATTTTCTTTTCATAATCTTAATGAGCAAAAAAAAATTCCCCATATTCGGTTCTTTAAGCAAAATCTTAGAATCGAACATTTGTTATTCTATTCTATCCAAAGAAAAAATTCGACAAATAGAAGGAAAAATTGTTCTCTCTCCATCTTTACTTTTCTTCTTTCACCTGATGACAACTCTCTCTTTCTCTTCTCTCTTAACCAATCAAAATTTTCTTCTTTCTAATTTAAATAAATTTAAATGGATTATCTTCCAATCTATTATAATAGAGACAATTATTAGATTTAAGATCTGAATCAAGGTTTCCGATTGCGATTTTTTTTTGTGGGTATTTCTCAAGTTTGTTTGTTATATTGTGTTGATTGTGATAATTGTAATATCACCAATATCAATACAATTAAAATGAGTAATATTAATTGTAAATTTCAATACAACTGATAATTATCACAGTTGATTGAACTAGTAGACCTTGTTGTTGTTAGAAAATTGTTGATTTTAAATTGATTAAGAGTATTTATCTGTTCATTTAGAGGGAAAATGTTTAAACTTCATTGTTATCGTTTAAATTGTTTCATTATCGTTAACATTGTATTATTAACACTTTTTTCTAACCATTATGTGATTATTATTACAATTAATTTGTTAATCATTGTCATTGAGATAATAATATTAGTTAGTTCATTTTTCTCAATGATCTTGTCTCTCTCTCTCTCTCACACTATTTACTTAATTCAGTAATTCAAGTTTATCGGGAGAAAGTGTTTACATTTAGTGTTACGCCTCGTTAATTTGTTCCTTAATTATACTATTAATTGTTTATTACTAATTTACAATTTTACTTAACAATATGATTAGATAATTGTGCTAATTTAAATCAATAAGACAAATTGTTTTAAAAATAATGCGACTCTATTTTGCTATAACTTAATTAGTTAATCATATTATCTAATATTGACTAATAAATTAGTACAGACAAAAACAACTTGATTCCTTTTCTTAATACAATCACTTATAATTTAACTAGTATCATCAATAATTAGTATCCAACTCTTTTCATCTTTAATTATCTATCTGCTCAATTAAAATGATTGTACTTGTTATTAAATGTTATTAATAAATTGTTATTACAATTTATTGGGAATTGAATTACAAGGCAGTCCACGTGTTAACAATTGCACTGAATTGAAATGCAAACAAATAGACAATATTTTTTTTCATTCAATTTCTAATCAAGATAGTTGTCAATCAATTTATTATGTAATCATATGCTGATTGATTGTTCCCTTTCATTATAATCATTTGAACCTTTTTCCCTGATTACGTTAAACAATAATATGATAGCTTATCGATAAATATTAAATCAATATCAACTTAATGAAAAGATTCAAGAGGCTCTAGGTCATTCCAAATCTATTAAACTAATCATAACTGTTATCGAAAAGATTAAAATCTTTATTGGAAAGGCAATGATAAGGTAATTGTTAGTCGATTAATTGTACTCTAAGGGCCTGATAACATGAAAATTATATTCTTCAACAACAACAAAAAAATGTTCGAACCGACCTTCAAATGGACTTTTAGTCTATCGAAATTGATTCAGCTAAATGATTAATTTTTACTTTTCAAGAAATTATAGTTGATCATAATTTATTGATTTCCTTTAACTAATAATCTTTTCTACATTTATTTATCTTTTCAGGATTTGTCATTCACAATGAGAGAACGAGATCAGTTGAAAATTCGTGGTCTTCTACCTGCCGCTATAAGAGGCCAAAAATTAGAAGCCGAAGCTGCTATGGCTTATTTAGATTCATTGGAAAGTAATTTAACCAAGTACATGTACCTTCGAGAATTACAAGATCGAAATGAAAGATTATTCTATCGTATTCTTTGTGAACACACCGAACATTTGATGCCTCTAGTTTACACTCCAGTTGTTGGCGAAGCTTGTATCAATTATAGTCGCATTTTTCACCGATCACGAGGAATGTACATCACTGTCCACGATTCTGGTCAAATATCGAATATACTTGCCAATTGGCCTGAAAAGGATGTCAAGGTAAATCTCATTATTATAATCATATTTACAATCATTATGTTTTAGCTGATTGAACAACTAAATTACAATTAAAATTGAACCAAGAGTTACCTTAAAAAAAAGCTATTAATTTTTCCATTAATACTTTTAAACAAAATTCACTTGATAATCAATAGATTTGATCAACCTAAAAGGTAACATTAAACTTGTACCAAGGGTAACTTTGTTTAACATTTTCGTTAGTTTAATCTAAAATCTATAAATCGTTGAATTATCTAGATTATATATTTGAGATTAATTGTTTAATTTTTCCCCATTTTTCCTACAAAAATTATTTTCATAAAGTATTAATATTTCACTAATGTTCTTATCGTAATAGGCATTAATAAATAGATTGATATTTAAATGTCAGTAATTCGAGTCGTTTTTCATTATATTGATCAATTGATTAATGTTTAACTGTTAATTATAGTGACATTTAACATATGATTGTTTGTTCACGTTTATCTAATAATGAAACTGATGATCAACTAATGAACTTGTTAATTATTTCATTCATTTTTCCTTCCTTCCATAGGCAATTGTAGTTACCGATGGTGAAAGGATTCTAGGCCTTGGTGATCTTGGTGCTAATGGAATGGGTATTCCTGTCGGTAAATTAGCGCTTTACACTGCACTTGCTGGTATCCCGCCCAATTTAACACTTCCCATCACTCTAGACACTGGTACTGATAATCAAGAATTGTTGAATGATCCATTTTATATTGGACTGAAACAACGAAGAGTCCGTGGCCCTCAGTATGATGATCTTATTGATGAATTTATGGAAGCTGTAATCAAACGTTGGGGACGTGCATGTCTAATTCAATTTGAAGATTTTGGTAATCGAAATGCTTTTCGATTATTGGAAAAATATCGAGATAATTATTGTACTTTCAACGATGATATTCAAGGAACCGCATCCGTTTGTGTTGCTGGTATACTGGCCAGTTGTCGACTTACTGGAATGAGAATAAGTCAACAAAAGTTTCTTTTCTTTGGTGCTGGTGAAGCAGCCCTTGGAATCGCTAACCTTTTGGTAATGGCCATGGAAAAGGAGGGTGTCCCTACCGAGGAAGCTCGTGATCGTATCTGGTTGATGGACTCTCGAGGTCTTGTAATTGCTGATCGTGAGGGTGGACTTGACGAAGAAAAAATTAAGTTTGCTAAAAAAACAGGACCAATGAAAAATTTAGAAGCAATTGTTGATCTTGTTCAGCCATCAGCTTTAATTGGTAAGTTAATTGAAAATTAAAATTAAAAATCAAATCATCAGTAACAATTTCTATTTCCTATTTCCTGTTATTGTTGATTAAAACTCTGATTTTTTTTTCTCTCTTTCCTCACTTTCTCTCAGGTGTTGCCGCTCAGCCAAAAGCTTTTAATGAGTATATTAAAAAAAATGGGTACCATGAATGAGCGACCATTAATATTTCCCCTCAGCAATCCAACCAGTAAAGCCGAATGTACCGCTGATGAAGCTTATCAAGCCACTGAGGGACGATGTGTATTCGCCTCTGGAAGTCCATTTGATCCGGTTACCATTAATGGAACCACTTTCCACCCTGGTCAGGGAAACAATGCTTACATCTTCCCCGGGATATCACTTGCAGCCATCGCCTGTGGTGTTCACACCATTCCCGATGAATCATTTCTTATAGCCTCTAAAGCTTTAGCAGATCAAGTGACTGATGATGATTTAGCCGAAGGTCGAGTCTACCCTCCCTTGTCAGATATTCGAGAAGTGTCTCTAAAAATTGCTGCCAAAGTGTCACAATATTTTTACGTCGAATCGTTGGCAACAGTTCGACCTGAACCAACTGACAAACTGCTTTTCATGAAAACTCTCCAATACGATTACAATTACGTTTAAAATTGAAAACAGTTTGATTATTAGTACAATTGATTATAAAGATAATCAATTTTTTTCCAATTCTTAATTAGATCTGGACCTTATTAGACGAAACTCAGTTTATCTTATAACAATTAACTTAGATTTGTGCAATTAATTTCCTTGTTTTCTCTTCTAATTAGTTTACAATTCAATATAATTATGATGACAATGATTTTTTTCGTTATAATTAACTAATTGTGATCCTTGTGATATCTTTCTCACTCTGCACTTAATACAAACAAATAGACTTATAAATTAACATCCACACTTAATTATGATGATAATTATCATCAACTCACACAAGCATTTATCCACATTGTTTTGTGGAAAATTAAATAATTTTAATTATTTAACCAATTAATCAAGAATTTTTGATCCAAATTGCAAAAAAAAACTAATTATGATCAAAAATTATATTTTAAAGTTAAAACAATTAACCAAAGCTTTTGATGACATCTAATCAACAACAACAACCAAATGATGTACTTAATCATCTAAATAGTTAAATCAATTATCAAGATGAATTTAAAATGATTACAATTATATAAAATTATTGAACCAAATATTGTTAAAGTTAATCATAACTAAATCAAATCTAATCACAAATTTAAAAAGCCTTTCTCATCATTGTACTTCAATACCTTTAATCCTTGTTCTGTTTGTTTTTAATTGTTATACAATGACTTTAATTGTTACCCTTTATTATTACCATGTTAAAACCTTTAGAATCTCCCCAATTAAAAAAAATTTAATTATAACTACAATTAAATTGATAATCAATTAAATTAAAAACAAAATTCAAATCAAATTCTATCGAACAAAATTCAAAGGTTCCAAAATTTCAACAATCGAACCAACTAATTAACTGAATCACCAATCCCCATTCTATTCACCAATACTCATCAAGAATCAATATTAATTTAATTAGATTAAAGTAACAATCAATTAATTGTAAATCTGTAAATTCCATAGTGTCGCCATCTAGTTGATCTTTAAAACACTATTTTCGCCTTTACTGTTATTGTTTTTTTCTGGTGACAATTAAAATGTTTCATTAATTTGATTGAACTAAAATGATTTTGATTGACTGATTAACTATTGTTAATTGTAGTTAAATGGATTGTGTTGCAGTCGAAGTTCATCTAATGAGAATCTTAATGTTTCTTTCTGATTGAATTTTGTGTCTTTAATATGGTTAATAGTTAAATGACTTTTCGGATCATCATTTTCATCGGTTAATTTGATTATCGTTATGATTGGACTCATCTTCTTAATCAACTGATTAGTTAACCTTTTGATGTGATTTATGGATTAAATGGTTAACATGCCAGGTAACTATTAGAATAGAATTAATATGTTTGGGTGGAGACTTGAGACCGGCTCAATGGACATGAAAACGAATAGAGAATAGAAGGTAAGTTTATCCTTTCTCTTCTTCATCTTCTTTTTTTCTCATTTCTTCCTCTTTCCCTTTTTATTTTCTTCTTCTCTTCTTCTTCTTCTGCATCTTCTTCCTCATGATTCTCAGTTTCACACATAAATTCTTTCTCTGTCTCCAGTCCTTTCTATCTCTTTTCCTCTTTCTATTATCTCTTTCTACTGAATTCTTATTCGATCAATAATTTGATATGAGTCACACTCTCTTTCCTTTTTTCTCTTTCTTCCCATCACTTTCTTTTTCTCTTCCAAAAAAAAGCTTCTCTTTTAACAATATTCTATTCTATTCCAGCAGAAATATTCATTGTCCACCCAAGGAAAACACTCTCAACTCTTCTTACCTCCTTTGGTCAATGTTAATCAAATCAATTCTTCTCATGGTTTTCCATTAATTCTAATTAGTAACTTCAATATCTCACCATCAATTTAACTATTTACCTTTTAATCAACAGCCCAAATACTCACAACAATTGATTGGCCTCTTTTTGGAAGCTTTGTTTTTTTTTCTGTTTATCTGGATTACACTTTCAACATCAACAACAATGATTGTTTATCAACCTTCTTGATTGTCCTTTCCAGCAATCAACAAAAAAAAACTCCGACAATTGTGCTAATTGTGATCATCTATAAAAAAATTTACCTTCCAATGATTTAGTTTCTCTCTATTGTCCAAATCGTTATAAATGAACGTGTATCAGCCAAACAATTGAATAACTGGATTAATAAAACCCAATTACAATTAGAATATGCATCTTAATGGTAAGTTGATTTATATTTTTCTATTCTTTTCACCAAATAGGATTTATCCTTTTTCTCATCTTCTTTAATCCACTGACGATGATGATGATGATTGATTAACCAAATCTCCAATTTTCCAATTGATCTTCTCCAACCAAACAGAGAACTGTTACCATTTTAATTAACCAACAGTTTCTAATTAACTTTCATTCACAAGCTTAAAATGTAAATTCCATTAATTAAATTGATTCTCATCTTTCTTTCAACTAAAATGTAAACAACAATTCTGGTTACAAGGAGTTTCCTAGTTACTATTAGTTAATGTAAAGAAATTGTTTACTATTTTTTTTTCCTCAATTCCTTTAATTTTATTACTTTTTCTCACTAATTCATTGATTGATTTGTTTCTCTTTTCAATATTTTCACGACAATTAACCTTCATCATGATTGTTACAATCATTAACCAGTCTCTTAACAATCTAATATCACCATCAATTCAGCCAAATGACACAATCAAGGTTAACTATTGTTACTTTATTGTGATTGTCCAGTGTTAATTTTCAATCCACCATTTTGTTGATCATTAATTGTTCAATTTACTCAAATTTTTATTTACCAGGAAGTATTCTGGTTATATTATTACAATAAGAAAACATAATCCAATAAGATTAGATTAGATTGTTAATCATCATAATCTTAAAGTGCTCAGAAACAATTAACGAGTAAATCATTTGTAGTTTATAATTATGATGTTTATTGATCTTTTGTTTACAATTTGATTTATGTTTAATTGTAAAGATGATGTTCAATAGTATCTAGGAAATTTAAGCCAATTAACTTGACAACCAGAGAGACTTAAATCATTTCCATTTTAATTACAATTAATAATAAATTTCATAACAGATGAGATATAAAATCTGTTGATTAACAATTAACTCAAATCATGTTCTCAACAATTATCGTCATCATCAACTTGAAGGTAAAGTAATTAACGTAATCAATATAATCCTGACAATTCCTTACTTGGGATTGTATATGAAACAATTTCCGTTAATCATTAACAATCAATTTTTGTTTATACAATTAACTTCATTCAATCAACAAATGAATCAAACATTTGTTGACATTCAAGCTTTTCTGTCAATACAGTTAACATTTCAACCATTGGATTCATTTTTTTTTTCCTACTCACAGAAAACAATTAACACCAATGTTAATTACTATTCTTAGGAACAATTAACTTAATTGAAAATTAAATATACAGTTGACATAACCTGTTGTCGTTTTTCATGTAACTTATGAACTTACATGAAAAAACACAAAGTAAACATGAGAATCAGTTCAACAGTTGATCTCATCAGAATTTGCTAATAATCGGTTTGATTAAAGGTCACAATTAACTGATTCTCAACTTCAGAACAATCAACTAACCATTCATACCAAGACTTAACAATTAAGAGAAAAAAATTGTCACTCTAACCCTGAATGAATCTTTTTTTCTTGTTGAAACTAATGTGTTGATCTCATTCGGATTAATTTAATCTTCTTTGGATTAGCTAACAATTAAGGTAACAATCAAGTAATCATATTCTTTAAATTACTCAAAAAAATGACTATAAATTGTGATTGTCAAATGAAAAGTTAATCATTTTTGTTTAACTTTACTGTTCATTTAATCAACACAATGATGAAACAATAAGTTAATCAAATTTCAAACAATTAGTCGCCTCCACGTTGATTAAACAATCAACTGTATACATTGAGATGTTAAATATAACACCTTCATGTTTAAATTGTGAACCTTAATTTCTGTTGAATGGGTTAACCATTAAACAGTGAAATAAAACTTTAACTAATTAGATTAATTGAGATTAATCAATAACAACAATTAAAATTAACTTTCTAACTCCAGATGATTGATCCTTTTTTAACATGGACTTTTTTTAAATCGATTCACTTGGTTTCTTTGCTTGGATGATTAAAGTTAAATTGTGACATTAAAAAAGTTTGATGACATACACACACAATTTATTGATTCTTCAGTTAATTAACATACTTAATACAGCAAATTATCAGCGTAACGATTAACTACAAATACGAAAATGATTTCGTAGGAGTTGATTGCAAGTAAAAGTAAAAAAGAGAAAAAATGAAAAAAAATTAAGATTTTAACAGTTTATTTATTACGATTTAAATTACGAATTTAAATTGTAATCAATGTATTGAATGTGTGTTGGTCCAGATGAGCCCACGCAATTTAATTCGGTTAGATTACAATTCTAAGCAAGAACGAGTTCGAGGAAGAAAACGAAAAGTCCAAGTCGAAAAACAGAACTTGGGCGAAAATAGGTTGTTCTCTCTTTCTCTCTCTCTCTCTCTCTCTTTCTCTCTCTCTTCTTTATCTTCTTCTCACTCTCATTCCTGTTCTATCATCATTCTTATTGTGTCTCACTCACTCACTCACTTATTCTGATAACTCTCACTAATCACAATTTACCTTCACAACTGAATCAGTTCAACCTTAACTGTTGAAACTGAATGCAAACCTTATGAGGATTAAGATGATGTAAGTGATTTTGATTATAAAGTAAAAGATGATTAAGTTACCATGACTTGGATTACGACAATTAATCTAATTGTTAATCGTTTATGATGATTAAAGTGAATCTAATCTGGCCCATAGGATTATCTGTGTCTCCTTAATCTTGACTTTTCTTGACTTCCATCATCTGAAATCGTGTACATTTTAGCAATTTGCTATTTTAATCCATCGCCTTGATTAAATTCGTGATCAATTTGATTATGTGATTGTTAATTGTGTCCCAATCATTATCGCCAATTGTGATTACAATTAAATCAATTATTTTTGGTATGTGTTGACTTTTTTTTACCGATAACTTGATTCAACATGATCAACAATTTGATTATCAGATTGTGGTCACGATTTAGTTACATGTTAACCCATCACAATTAACTAATTTCTCTTATTGTGGGATAACAAATTGTTTCAACAATTAACTTTCACTTTTTTTTCTGCTTCTCTTGATTGTTGTTCATTCAAAATCTCAATGTTATAATTAACTAATCTAATTTGATTGAACATAAATACTTGTTTTCTTGGCAAATGATTAAGCTTCAAATTCTTGAAGTTAATTGTATACACAATTAATACAACAATTTACTCAATTAAATTCAATATTGATTGTTTAACCGCAACTTAACCAAAATACAACAATTTAACAACCGAAACAATTAAATCAATGAACATGAAGATGAAAAAAAAACCACAATTAAAAAGTTTCAATCTATTACTATCACCATTAATTAATTAATCACATTCACTGTTAATTGTTACTATAATCAGGAACTGTTATCCTACATTAATCATACAATTAATTAAATCCAATTGAAATCTTAGCTGGTTGTTAATTAACTGTTAATTAACTAATAATTTTACCTCTCTAACTGTTTTCCATTAAAAAATAAACAATTTTTGCCCTTTAACATTCAACTAACTACCAACAACAATTTACTGTTATATTTTTACATGTTAATTGTTGATGATTTAAATTATGATCGTGGTAGCGGTTAATTCATCTGGTGGGTTGAGGGTGGATTTTGTTTTGAATATATTTGGGGTTTGATGTTAATCATGACGATGATGATGATGATAATGACTGGAGGATGATTATCTTGATTGTTGTGAATTTAAAATCTTCAGGTCAATTTAGTTAACTTGTTGATCGACTCTCTCTCTCTCTCTCTATCTATTTTTCTTGTCGACTTTAATTGCCAACAATCAAAAATCCCACTCAAAGTAACAACAATTTAAAGTGAATTTGTTTTTATATTTTGGTTGAAACTTTTTTCTTCAATTGAAATTGATTCTGTTTTTCTTACTCATTTTCTTAACCTTATTTATAATTGTTGTAATCTATCATCAACAATCAACTTAATCATCAGCAATCACATATAAAAACAACAACAACAATCTAATGATTAAGTCTCTTGTGCTACTTCACCTACTTTAATATATCAATTATTAATTATCACAATTAACGGTTAAGTGGATTTTTTTGTTTCCTCTAATTTCATTAATCATCCACAATCTTTAATTCAGTTAATTTTTAATTGTTTACATTGAGAAATTTTCTAGTTATTATATTGATAATATCTTTCGTTAGCAATTAGCTTCTTGTCTGATTGTTTAAATTGATTATTGGTTTTAGTTGATGTTATTTATAAATTACAATATGTATTAACCATTAAGGTAAAGTTTAGACAACAATTAGTTTTAATTGTTACTATTGAATATACAGAATATAACAATTTAATATAATTTTTTTCTTTATCTTCATCTTAATAACAATTATCATCTATTTTGTCAGCACATTCAATTAAAATTAACTTTCATTCAGTTTAAATATTATATTTAGATTGTTAATCACAACAATTAACCAAATTGTTACCTTTTTTGGCAGTTTAACTTTGATTATGTAGTAAACATGATTAACTAATTGTTTCCCGAACTGAAAATTTCGTTACCTTGATTCCGTTTCTTGATTGATTATATTTCATTACTTATCATCAATTAATTGCTATTGTTATCTAACCGCAATTAGGTTAATTTTTGATCAGTAAGAAGCAAATTAGGTGTGTGTTAATATTAATCATCTATAAGTAATTTAACTGGATTAAGATGACGAGAGAAAGTTAATCAAAACAACCATATCTAATCAGAAAATTAATCCAATTAACTTGATCATAATCAAAATTTAATCAAAGATTAAATGAAAAAACACTTTGAAAACAAATCAAAAATATTGAAACTATTTAATGCAAGAACTAAATTAACTTTAATTGCGATCAACAATCATATCTAATCTTATACTTTTTCCTTATATTTTTATCATTTTGAGCCTTTTTTTTAATCATCTTGTTTAATCATCATATTTATCATTTGTTAATATATCATTTAGATAAATCATCATGAAGATAATCAACAAATTACAATAGCAATTTAAGAAAAAAGTTGATTGAACTCAATCATGATTAAAGATTAAAAAACTTGTTAACAATTAAGATTTCGTGTCCGGCGATCATAACTTAATTTTAAATTTCATCTCAACAATTAATTTAGTAGCTGTAACGTTGAAATTTAAAATAAAACTCATTAAGAAAACTTAATCATTGTTTTAAATTGTAAAATTTACTTTCGATTTAGTTTATCAATAACTAACTTAGTTTGACTTTTACAATATAATTACTTATTCTGATTGATTGTTATTAATAGTTGAATAAATTGTTTCAATTACAATTGATTGTAACAATTGTTTTCCTGTCAATTTTTTGAATCTTTTCTAGTCTGTTAAAAATTAATTGTTGACAATTTAACTTGTTGGCATGATTATTATTCACATTTGATATTAGCTGACATTCACTTGTCATTTTTGAAGTGAAGGTTAGATGAGAGTCAATTTATCCACCTCCACCTCCACCTCATCCTCCTCATCCTCATCCTCTTTATCATCATTATCATCATCTATATCTTCATCTTCATCATGTTAATACAGATGAAAAAGGAAACTCATATTTCATCATATTCATCAAAAGCTTTTAGAGTGATTTCCTTTTTTTACCTTGAGTTTTTACCCTTAATTTGAATATGAAATTTAGGTTATCAAAGTTTTCATGATACTATTCAACTAATCATGTTAATCTAACCATCACGATAAGAATCATCATCTTATAAATTTTTTTTTCTTCATATCTTTCAGATGAATCGACAACAACTTGTTTAGATAATAATAAAAAAAGTACCGATAGTCAAACAACAATTAATAGTAACAATAACAATAGTGGACACTCAGGTGATAATGATTCATTAATTATCCAACCATCATCTGATTATAACAATAATAACAACACTAATCCAGATACTAATCAATCTAACCAAGATGATCTATTATTAACACCAGGATCATCTTCAGATTATCCTTGTAATGATAATCTCAAATTGACCAATCCAATTAATTTAAACTCATCAAATTTAGATGATCAGCTAATTGTTAATAAATCATTAACTGTATCAATTGATGATGGATCTCAACAAAATCCCACTAATTTACCAATCAACCCCAATGATATTTCAATTATGCAAGATAGTACTGACCTTCATTGGTTTAATGAGGAAACCTATCAAAGGTAATTAACAATCAACTAACCAAATCAAATTAAATGCCAATCTAATCACTTTGATTAACACACTCACAATAAAGGTTATTTTTGTATCTAGAAAATTTTTATCACTTTGATTACAATTTGATTGAGAATTTTATTTTATTTTCGTTTTTTTCTCTCTCTCTCTATCTTATCATTTGCCGATTTCATCATTGAACTGATTTAATTTTTGTCGTGGTTAATTGTTGAAGAGAACAGAAAATTTCACTTAATTTCTCATGAAAATGGAATCAAATTAAAATTAATTGTATGTTGAAAATGTTTTTCTTTCCTTTTCTTTCAGTGAAAAAACTCATCTTATTGAAAACATGCCAATAATTAGTGAATCGTCAACAAATACTGAATCAATCAATCGTACCACCGGTGGGAATCATTATCATCAGAATCGTTACCATGTCTTATCACGTAACATTGATGCTACTTTAGCTGAGATTGACATGGAAACTTTTACAAGTGAAGATATAAATCACATCTATTCAACGTTACCTGAACTTGATTCCTCATGTAGTGCCGATGATGGTGGTGGCGGTGATGGTACAGTCACCGAAGATGGTGGAGAGGAATTTGCATCAGTCACCGGCTCTCTATTGGATGAAATTCACTCCGACAGTCATTACCTAAGGTAAATCATATAATCGATTCATGAGCCAGAATCTATCCTCTGGTTCACTCCAATTTCCATTTTTATCTCTTGTTAGCGATTTTTTTCCACTGTCTTCATCTCCATCATCATCTTACTTTTTACTCTCTCCCTCTCATCATCTTCCTCTGAACTTGCTCATTGCTGTTTATGTTTTACGTTAACCATTAGCTTGATTTTCCTCCTTCTCTCTCATTCTGTTTATCTACGTCTTCTGTTTTTCTTCCTCATCAATAATCAATTTCTTTTCGTGACTTTCATTTTCTTTTTCTTTTTCTTGTTTCTCATGTTTATCTTAATTTCAGTTCTAAAAGGTTTAACAGTCGTGGAATTGATCTAAATGGTTCAAGTTCTATTTTTGATTCTTCGTTGATTGTTGATGAATCTTCAGTTAAAACTTTATCTTCAGGCGGGTGTGGTGGAGGTGATGGTACACTTACAATGAGAAGTGAACGATTTCCTGGTCTTTATGAACGATCTCATTTAGATGTGTCCGGTGTATCAGCTGATTCGCTTGATTTTTCATCATCAGAAAATGATAATAATACTAATGAAATGATTCTTCGATGCCGAGAACAAGATAAAACGAAATATACTATCGCCTTTGAGGAAAGTGTTTCCTCTGTGACAACTTTCTCAGATTCTGCTGATGATATAAAGAATAACTCAGAAGAAAGTGACACAGTGACTCATTTTAATCATCATCATCATCATCATAATCGTCATCATCATTATAATAATTCAAATACAAATAAGTGTAATCATCAACAAAGACGTCGGCGGATGAATGGTGTTAATTTTATTAGTGTCAATAACAACACCGATGATGGAGATGATGATGATTATGACCTTGAAGATGATTATCATCGTCATGATAATGATGATAATGATCTAGTTAAATCGGAATATACAACTTGGAATATGGTCAAAAGGCGTGGCCCTATCAGTCGACGGGAGTTAATTAGATTGAGACGTTATCCTTTTAGGACAATTGCCAAGCAAAGTCAAAGTTTACCCAATATTGTTCAGGTCACTTCGATTCTTACTGGTGACCATGGTGAACCTTTATTCCCACCATTGGGAAGTTATGTTCCTCTTTATGATCTCAATAAATCAAATACAACAACAAACTCGTCAAATAGTGAGGTCAGTCCACCACGATCATTGATAAGACTTTTTATCAAAAATCGCACTTCACCAACCTCATCTAGCCCGGGGTCATCTTCAACCTCTTTTGAAGGACATCTAATTGAATCAAGTGAGCTTAATCATGGTAACCATCACCACCACCACCATCATCATCAAGGACAACAATCAACACTTTCTGGTGGTGGCAGCGGTGGGCTAGGTAAAGGTTTTACCAGGAGCGGGGGTGGACCTAATGGTCAATATTATTTTGGTGATAAAGAGGGTAACCTTAAGGTGGCCTTTAATGATAAAAGGAATGTGGGTCAACAGTGTGTAAATGAAGATTGGAATAATTTTGAAGATAGTTTAATGGGAGAAGGTGTAACCGGAAACGGAACTGATGCAGTGGGAGGACATGTAACTCTTTTACCACCTAAGAATGGTTTTAATAGGTTAAAACAAGCAAGTCCAATAAGAGAGGAGGACATTACCTCGGACACTTCTCGAGGAGATGAAGCAGTTAACAGTGGAACCGATGAATCGTATCATGGTAAAGATGGTAAATTAACTGATCGACATTGGCCTATTTATCATTTCGATAAATTTAAAAGTAACACAAATAACGGTAATAATAATAACGATCGAGTGAATGTAATTGGTGCTCGTAGGAGTATATCAGTTGATCGTTTCATGTCCACTCAATGTACCGGTGGATCAGGTTGTGGTGGCGGTGGTGGTGATACAGATGGAATTGGTATTAGAGGTGGTGGTCCTTCATCCACCGGTGGTGGAACATCAAACAATCCTAATAGTAATATAAGGCGAAGCTCAGATTATGGGTCAACTAATATGAATAAGATTCGATTCTCATCAGGTCGTGAATTTGGTTCCGTTTCAAGTGGTTATCTTAGCAGTCGACAAGGTTCAAGTGAGTGGCATCGGAAAACCGCTTTCACTCATCATCCACCATCATTTCAACATCAACAACAACCTAAACCCTCATCATCTTCTTCATCATTGCCTCATCAATATCCTCTTAATCCATCATCATCTTCGAGTTCAATTCCTTCAAAAAGATATTCAATTTCTGTAACCACCATGAGAACCGCTTCAACTCAAGTTCCAGTTCACATTCAAGATAAACAAGTTCAAACAGGAATTAACTGTCAACTTGGTGGTGGAAATGGAGGTGATAATGAACATGAACAATCCACTGATCCTTCAATGGGATTCATTGTACGAGAATATCCAACAAGTACAGTTCGAGAAAAATCAATACCATTATCATCTTGTTATGCCAAAGAAACATTCTCACCTTCATCAGATTATCATAATTATCGTCAGAATCACGAACCACAAGATGAATCTCAACGGGCTAAACCTTTGTACGTTTGTTTTCCCAACTATTCACTTCCAGATTTAAGTTTCCTACGAACCTTATCATGTCCATGTACACCCAAAGAGGAGGGACCATCAGCTGTTTATCTATCACCAACCAAACTTAAATTACCACTTCGAGAATTTAAATCTAATGGTGGTAACGTCGGTGGGATTAGGAGGCCTTTTGGTCGAGGTAAAGGAGTTCGACCTAAATCATGTACCGATTATGAAAATTTGATTGCCAATCGTAGTTTTAATCATATTAAAGATTGGGATTCATTGAAAGTTTTACTTCCCAATGAGTTTAAATCGTTAATTGCTCGGCTTGAAGGTGGTAATGGTGATTCTAATCAACCAGAAGAGTCAAAAATCAATCAAGATGGAGGATCAAGAAAATCAAAAGAATCAGATGTAAACTTTGATAAGCGAACAAGTGAAAAATCAACAACAATTAACAATACTAATCCATTTAGTAGTAATTATAAAGAGCCTAAAACAATGACTAGTCCATCGAGTGAGGTTAAATTGCGACCAAGGAAAAGGTCAGTACGGACTTTGGATGGTTATCAAGGTCCATCGGAGGTTAATGAAGGAGCTTGTGGTTGTCACCAAGAGCGAAAGAGACACTCACTGCAAGAACCACCCTCTGATTATGGTCATCATCACAATCATCATCCTCCTCATTATCATCATCCAAGCAATTTTCATCATCACGAAACAAATGAACCAATTAATTGTACCTATCGTAATACAATTTCAAGAAGTGTGACCATGCCTTCCTGTGTATGCAATAGTCAACAACCAGTTTGTCATTTAAATTGTTGTCAACCTCCTAATTATTATCAACAGAATCATTTTCATCCTCATGATCATCACTTATACTCACAGCAGCAGCAACAACAACAACAACATAATCCTCATCATGTTCATCATGTAACTCAAAATTCACCGGTAACAGGGATAAATTCATGCTGTCAAGGTGTCACAGGAATCGGAGGTGGTGCAGGTAAATCATCAATGTCATCAAATGTCAAGCCAAATGAAATTAACAGTAGTCTTGTTAATGGTTTATTTGATGATCCATCAGTTGATAGACTTTGTCATCTTCTATCAAAAGGAATATCAGTAAAAGATTTTACCAATATAATTGGAGGAGTAGGAACACCAGGAAACACCATGAATTCAGGTGGAAATGGAATTGGAATCAATCATAAAAATCGTTTACCTTCACCATCTAAACCATATGAACCAATTAAAGAGCAAGTAATTGAAGAAACCGATTCAATGTGTATCTCATCAAAAGGAGGAGGTGATACTAATCATCTTGCAGGGTTAAACAATCAACACCAACAATTAAATATCAATAATGATAACAATAGGATAACAAAAGGAGAAGATGAATCAAAGATAAACTCAAATTTCAATGTGATCAAAAAACGCTGGGAATCATTAGCATCTCCAGTGTCATCAACAATTAACTCACCTGAACCCAATTTACCAATAATAACAAACACAGGTAAAGGTAAATCATCACCAACACCTCCACGATCAACAACACCACCAACACCCTCCTCTAATTACTCATCACCAGCACCCTCATCATCTTCAACAACAACCTCATCTTCAGCCTTACTTGTTAAACCCAAAGTCCCGATCAAACCACCGCTCTCATCGCTGCGACCCACCTCGGTTCCGATTGCTAAAAGACCCACAACCTTAGGTGCCAATAACAGTGGTAATGTTTTCAAATCGATGATTCCAATAGCCAAAGGGAGTAAATCACCACCAAATGTCAAACAATTAACTTCACCAATTAGTAAAACATTACCAAGAACTAATTGTAAAAAATCATCAGCCACCAACAAAACCACATGATGATTAGGAAACAATTTAGATTTGAATTATTCAAATGATATAAATTGCAATATATAATTAACACGCTCGCAAATTAATCAAAAAGTAAATTATATTTAAGATATAATTTATATAAATATTATAACAATTAACTTGATTTAGAAAATGTTTCTTGATTAATATACATTATCTTTGTCATTATTGTGATTAGGTTTTTATTTTAATTTCTGTCTAACAATTAACTAATCATCCAAAAGTTTACTCTCATCTTCATCAGTCTTCATTTAAATTGCCAATCCCAAAGATAAACAAATTAACTTGATTTTTTGATTTCTTTTCTGTTCCTCAAACAATTAATTTCAATTCTGTTGTAATTTGATTTAATTTTTTTTTCCTCTCTTGATTTGATTATTTTCAAAATCTATTGTATTTTTTAATTTATTATCATGAAACAATTAATGGCGATTAATGGTAATGTTAAACAATTAACTTTGGAGAAAATGATTATAATTATTAACCATAATCATAATTAACTCTCTCTCTCTCTCTCTCTCTCTCTCTCTCTCTCTCTCAATTTACTGTGTTTTCTAATTGTGTATATCATTTTTCCCTCTCATTTAATCAACAATTAACTAATTTGATTGCAGTCTCTAGATTATCCTCATTTATAATCATCGACATCACCCAACAATTAATTATCCAGTGCAATTTAAATGATATTATAAGTTAATTGACCATAATTACAATTGATCAAAACACTAAATCCTTTTCAATTTGCAATCGATACAATTAAATTAATTTATCACTCACTGATTGTCAACTTAACAAACAATAAAAATCAAATTAAAATTGAATTTTGAAACACACACAATTAACAATGTCAACAATTTATTTCACTAATCAGCCAACAATTAACTGATAAGATTTTCCCATTCACTTGAGTAAAAGTAAAAGGCGTTAATTGTCAGCTAATCACGTAGACAATTTAACAATCAGAATAACCTTAATTCTGAGCTCATGTTTAATGATGATCACAATTAATACTCAATGTTAATCAAATTTAATTTCCTCTTCCATTGGATTAACTTACCGAACACTAATCTCAACAGTGATTTAGTATTAATTAAATTATTCATCAGGATTAAGAGTCGCTGTCATTTAATTGTTATCAGTGAGAAAGGAAAAGTTTCAGGTTAATTGTTCTGACATTTATAAGCCACAATTAAGACTAATTGTAATCTAATTGTGAATAATTAGCCGATTGATAAGTAAATGAGTCACTTGTTAATCAAAATGATTTCGATTTTACGTGAAATTGTATTTTCATGATTACAACATTAATTATCAATTATTAATACTAGATTTTTAATACAAATGTAATGGGTTGATTTAGTTTTTAAATCTTTACAATTTGTATTATTTTGATTGTATTATTTAAATAGATTTATATTTAATTGTAGATTGGACTTTAAATTAAATAATTAAAACTCTTTAAGATGATAATTGGGATAATTAGAGTTTTTCCTTTTGTTTTTCAAACTCGAAAACCACAGCAAATGTAATTAATTATTGATTCTCTTTTTTGTTCTTCCTATTGATTTTGTTGTTAAACAATTAACCGATTTAATTACTATTATATTTGGATAATTAGTAATAATTGTTTATTCCTGTTGGTCGGGATTCTGTTTGATTTATTCAACGGTAACAATTCGCATTGTGTTGGTAGATCCAGGACCTTTTCTCCATCCAGTGATAACGATTACAGAATCATTTTTACGGATGAATCCACGAGATTTACCAAAATCAATGGCGGCCAGAATACGACCATCGACATCTTGAGGCCAATCACCTGAACGATCATCTGAAAAATAGATGGGTAAAAGTCCTCGCCAAAGATGAGCTTGACGGGTTGTCTGAGGTCGTCGGGAAACCGTGATAATGGGACAACGAGGTCGATACTTGGAGATGAGGTGAGCAGTTCGTCCAGTGGTTGTAAGAACGATAATTGCTGATGCCATACACTTGAGAGATGCGTTAACCGCGGCAATAGCAATTGTTGTTGTTAAATCAGCTGGAGTAGGTGTGTTGGTGCTCAAATCAATGAAAATACGCTGAGACAATGTAAAAGAAAAAAAGATGAGAGATGGAAAAAAAAGTGTTAGATGTTGGTAAGATGAGGAAAATCATGCTTCGGAAGAGTGATGAAGCATCAAAGTAAGAAAAATCATCCTCGATTATCTCGTAATGTTGAGTGAGCAGACAAGAAATAAAGAAAGATGGAGAGAGAAAATGATAATTTCAATGCGAATTTATAAATACCTTAGAGAACATGGCAGCTTCAGCTTCTAAACTAATAGCAGCCATTACAGCAACAGCTTGAATTGGATATTCTCCTTTGGCTGTTTCACCTGAGAGCATGACACAGTCAGCACCGTCTAGAACAGCATTAGCCACATCAGAACTTTCAGCTCGAGTGGGTCGAGGTTTTTTCACCATACTTTCTAGCATTTGGGTGGCACAGATAACCGGTTTACCCATCATGTTACATTTAGCGATCATCATCTTCTGAGCAAGGAAAACCTTCTCAGTGGGTATCTCAATACCCAAATCACCTCGAGCAACCATAATACCATCAGATTCAGCGATAATTTCATCAATTTTTTAACACCTTCGTGATTTTCAATTTTAGAAATGATCATAATGTTTTTACCCTCTTCACCTAAAATTTTTCTGATCTCTCGTACACCGGCAGCATTACGAATAAATGATGCAAATACCATGTCAACTTTATTCTTAACACCAAACAATAAATCAGCTTTGTCTTTTTCAGAGACAGCGGGTAAATCAACAAGTGCCCCAGGCAAATTAACACCCTTCTTGGATCCTAATAGACCACCGTTTTCAACTTCACATTGTAAATAATCAGATCCTAGAATATTGAAAGAAAATAAGTTAAGGAAAAAAAGAGACAAATATTATGTACAGTTAAGGATATGAATTAATTAATTTTAAGATTTAATTAACTTACCAACTTCCCTTACAACCAAAGAGATGAGACCATCATCGATATAAACCTTACTACCGGGAACAACTACTTTAACAATATTTTTATAATCTACATGTAAAAGATCAATAGTAGACTTATCAATAAATGCATCGTTAGTGGTCACCCTGATTGATGCTCCACGAACTAATTCAACCTCAGCTGAAGGTCCACCGGCTAATAAGGTTGTTCTTATCTCAGGTCCTTTAGTATCTAAAGCAATTCCAACCGGATGTTCAGCGACTTTATTTTCAATTGATAATTGTTTAACCGCTTCTCGAACATTATCAATTGTTCCTTGGTGGTAATCATAGGTTCCATGGGAGAAGTTCATTCGAGCGATATTCATACCAGCTTTCATCATCTGAATAAGCTTGGGAACTTCTCGAGATGCAGGACCTAATGTATTATAAGAAAATTAACAGGAGTAAGAGTAAGAAATAAAGAAATGAATGAATAATCGATGAAGAAAAACAAAATAGAAACTCGAAAGATATTAATTGTATGAGCCAGTAAATTATATGGGAAAATAAAAAGGTTACTCAGATCAATAAGATTTATATCAAGGTTATTTCGATAGAGAGAGAAACTTGAGAATTTGAGATAATTATATAAATTACATGAGCAAATAATGTGATGTATGGATGAAAGAAAATAATCAAAACGCTAATCAATCAGAAAAATTTATTTTTCACTCTCTCTCTTATATTGACCTTGATGAAATGGTTACGATTCTATGAAGGACACATCAAGAGGAGTTGAAAAGGTTATCATCCTTACCGATGGTACATATTATTCCAGTTTGTCGAACCAGTGGAGGTTTCGAGTCAATGTCCAACGCAGCCAAATGTTCAAGACTGGAATTAGCATCAGCAGCCTGTAATTGACAAGAAGATTTAGATTTAGCTGGGCTGATAGATTTTCTTGACATTCTTTCTCGAGATTTAGATCGAGGCATTGTTTTGGTTACAATGAGGAATCGACGAAGACAAGAATAGAAGATTATTTCGAAGGCTTGAGATTGGGAATCGTCTCTTTTATCACACAATTAATAGACAGTAAGTATCAAGCTAATCATTTAAAAAGATTAAATGTAAATGAGTTAACAACAGACAACTAGAATGTAAACAATTGAAGGGAATCTACAACAAATAAACAAAATTAGAAGTGAGAATGAAATAAGAAAAGTAGATTTATAGACGTAGTAGTAGTGCAATACAGCTACTAAATTGAAGAGAAGGTGAGAGAGAGAGAGTCAGAATAAAGACAGAGAAGAAAGAGAAAGAAAGACAGAGAAAGTGTAACAATCAAAAGAAACCTAAGCCTAGAAGAGAGAAAAAAAGTCAAAGTGTAAAAGCAGAAGACGAGGATCAGAGTTGCTCTATTTCAGTGTAAAAGGAGGGAGCAAGAGCGGATAAAAAAGAGAACAATAAAGAAGAGAAGAAAACAATTCGAAAAGTTGATCCAGGTAAAATTGGAAGATCGAAGAAAAAGGAAATTCTAAAGTAGAATAGAGAAGAATTTAAATCAAAGTATTACTCACAATGCTGTAGGTTGTTTGGTCTTCCATTGGTGTAGGTGATATTGAACAAGAAAAATTGAAAATGTTAAACTTTGAGGTTTTTTTTTTGATTTGAAGAAGAGAACAAAAAAATTGCAATTGGTGTAGATTTAAATGACAAGTCGTTAGTTGACTAGTGTGTGATTGGAATGAACAGAAAAGTTAATTTACTAAATGATTAACTGAAATAAGGAAACTCTTTTTATAGAAATAGAAAAGAAAAAAGAAAAAAAAAGCTGATAAAAATGAAACGAAAATCACTGTTGCTAAGTAACATGTTCACATGGAAAAATGAATCAATTTCAATTTGTGGCTCCATCTCTTACATAATTTACCCAGTGAACAACAGAATTAAGTTAACAATTAAAGTAAAGAACTAATAAAAAAATAGAAACAGAATTAATTTCAACCATCACTTACCTTGAAAACCAAAACAAAATGTTTTTAGATTAACCAATAATCCAAATAAAGAGATGAAATGAAAACAATTACAAGAGAAAAGAAAAACATTTCAAACACAATCAAACTGAATCGTAAACATCGAATTCTACTGAACAAATTAATTCCTCAAAATTAAACAATTAAAACCAAAATTAGACAACTAAAATAATTAAAACTTCACTTCCAAATTAAACGATTAACTAATTGTCACAATGGAAGAAAATTAAAAAAGAAAAATTAAAATTCTCTTTTCCAAAAGAGAATTTTAATCGCCGACAGGTGTCGCTTTATATTCTCTTTTTTTCTCTTTCTTTGATTTTGTTCTCTTTCTTTTTTGTCTTATTATTTTCTTCCTCTTGGTGTTGATGTTTAAATTTTTCTTCTTGTTGTTTTTATGATTGTTTTTTTAATTTTTAATATAAAATGACAAAGGTAATTAATTGATTTAATTGTCTTCTTTATATCAAGGATATTGTTCGTTAATTGATTGTGCTTTTTTGTTCATTTCATTTCATTTTCCTCCATGTTTCTTATTAGTTTACCTTCCAACAGAAAATACCTCAACTTGAGGATCATTGGCCGTCAATGAGGCAAACTATTCTCAAGCTTTTACATCAACAAAATGTCTCTCAGCTTGAATGGCAAGAACTCTTTTGGTAAGATTTGTGTTCTTTTTTGTTACAATCTCTTCTTTCTCATCTCCATGTTCCATTCAATTCTATCTTAATTTGATCTTTCGTGAAAAGAGAGAGACCCATTTCAATTAGTGTCTTTTTACCCTTTTCTTTTTCCATCTCTTCTCTTGTTCCTTTGTTTTTATCTCTCTCTCTCTCCTTTTTTGGTTCTTTTCTGGTTCTTTTCTGTTTAGTTTAATGATGTTTCATCATGTCTTTGTCTTTCTTTGTCCACAATTTTCATTCTAATATTTATTTGGATTTTTTCTTATCTATTTCTCCCTTAATGATGACGATGTTTGCTCTATCACGATTGGATCAGGAATGTTCATAATGTTGTCCAATGGGATCAGTGTTCTGATAAACTTCATGAATCTCTCCAACAGGATATTTTAGAGTTCATCTCACAAGCACAAAGTGTAAGCACATATTCAGGGAACGAATTGAGGCTATTCCTGTTCTTCATTTTCATCATCATCATCATTATCTTTCTTGGTCACCCTCTTATTCTAACCTTGTTTTTCCGTTTATTCTCCCAATATTCAGACGGTATTAGCTCATCATGATGACCAGGCCTTACTTAAAGCATATGTCGCTGCTTGGAGTAAATTCTTTGTACAATGTAATTACCTTCCATTACCTTTTACTCCCCTCATGTCAAATCAAAAAAGTAATAATTCAAAAACTACAACCATTGAAGAAAATATCGTACGAAAAGTAAGTTCAAGCTTTTTTTCTTCTATTTGTTTCTTTTTTTAATATTCGACCAATTTAACCTGATTTTCTTGTTTACTTGTTTATTATTATTATTCTTATTACTATTTAGCTTATGCACACCAGTTGGAATGAAAGTATTTTCTCCAATATTAAACATCGACTTCAAAATAGTGCCATGAAATTGGTTCACGCTGAAAGAAATGGGGAAGCATTTGACTCTCAACTGGTCATCGGAGTGAGGGAATCTTATGTTAATCTATGCTCCAATTCAAATGACAAAGCTATTTATAAAGAAAATTTCGAAAAAGCCTATCTTGAAGCAACCGAAACATTTTACCATTCCAAGGCGGCTGAATATCTAGTGGCCAATGGTGTACAAAATTATATGATCTGGGCTGATATGAAACTAAAAGAAGAAGAAATGAGAGGTGCCAAATACCTTGAATCTCTTTCTCTTCCATCGGTAAATTATTCTTTGTTCTCATCATCTCTTTTTTGACAGAACAAAAATAATAATATTATATCTTTCTTTCTCATCTTCATTTTGTATCTTTGTCTCATCTCTACTTTCTCTCTCTCTCTATAGTTGAACGAGACTTGTGTACGGGTTCTAGTTACTAATCATAAAGATGTTATTCTTGCTGAATGTCCAACAATGATTCAGAATAATGAGACAAAAAGTGAGTAGATATTCAAGGCTAACAGCTTTTCTATTTGCCTTCTATTTCACCTTTGCAATAATAGAGAATGACGATGATAGAAAAATAATTCGTCAATTTCTTCCTCTTTAAATTCAAGTTCAATGACTTTGATTTATCAATGGAAATTTCCTTTTCTATCTCTATATGTATCTCTCTCTTTTTCTCTTTGTCTCTTTCTCCCTTGTATCTCATGAGCTTATCATTTTATCAATTTTCTTACAAATCTTATGTTTGTTTCCTTGTAAACAGAATTGAATCTAATGTTTCGTTTATTGGATCGAGTTGAAGGTGGTGTTGAACCCATGTTAACTTATTTAGAGGATCATATTGTTCAACAAGGATTAGCTGATATGATGGCTTCAGCTGAGATTATCACCCAAGACTCAGAGAAATATGTTGAACAATTACTGGAACTTTTTGTTAGATTTAGCACTCTAGTCGCAGAAGCTTTCAATGATGATCCAAGACTATTAACCGCGCGTGATAAGGTATACAATTTATCCAATTGAGTTTTAATTTCTCTTTTATTTTTGATTACCCACGCAAAAAAATCACCAAACCCTTTACGTATTTTCTTCTTCTTCATCATCATCACCATTACCATCATCTTCTTCTCATCTAACCTTGAATTCTCTTTCTTATATTGCTTTTTTTTTCTTTTCTCTCTTCTTCTATATAATTGTTTCATCTCACAGGCTTTTAAACAAGTAGTTAATGATACATCGGTCTTTAAACTTGAATTAGCATCTAAACCTAAAATGTACGTATGACAATCACTTAAATCAAGTTTGTCACAATCAAAGTTAACCTTTCTCTTTTTCTCTCTGCCCACAGAAGTACAGTAATGATTACAAAGTTACCTCCCGAATCGCGATGCCCTGAGATGCTAGCAAATTACTGTGATATGTTACTTCGTAAAACCCCTTTAAGTCGTAGATTGACCTCCGAAGAGATTGAAACAAAATTAAAAGAAGTGGTTAGTTGATTAGCTGATTTATCTGATTATAATCAATTAATGTGATTTTTCTTAAACCATTTTTTTTTAAACAGCTTCTAGTCTTAAAGTATGTACAGAACAAGGATGTTTTCATGCGTTACCATAAAGCCCATTTAACCCGACGTTTAATCCTTGACTCGTCAGCTGATAGTGAGAAAGAAGAGAATATGGTTGAATGGCTTCGTGAAGTTGGAATGCCGGCTGATTATGTTAATAAATTAGCTCGAATGTTTCAAGATATTAAAGTTAGCGAAGATCTCAATCAACAATTTAAAAATTCCCAGCGTCTAATTGATGGCGCTTATTCGGATACTATAAATATCAAAATTTTAAATGTTGGTGCGTGGGCACGTGGTAGTGAACGTGTACAGGTTTCCCTTCCCTTAGAATTGGAAGATTTTATCCCAGAGGTGGAAGAATTTTATAAAAAGAAACACAGTGGGCGAAAATTACAATGGTACCATCATATGTCAAATGGAACGGTTAGTTAAATTGTTCTCTTAATTATTTATCTCAATATCCTGTAAATATCTAATCTCTTTTTACTTTTCTCCCTCTCTAGATTACATTTGGTAGTAAATATGGTAAATATGATGTAGATGTAACGACTTTCCAAATGGCAGTTCTTTTCACATGGAACGAGCGTCCAAATGATAAAATATCGTTCGAGAATCTCAAACTTGCCTCTGAACTTCCCGATGCTGAACTTAGACGAACACTTTGGGTAATTTGATTCATGATTTTCAAATTGCTAAATTGTTACTAAACTTTTTTTTTGCTACAATCAGTTAACTAATCTTGAATTTTTACTCTTCTCTCTTTTCAGTCATTAGTTGCCTTTCCTAAATTAAAGACACAAATCCTTTTATGTGATGTGCCTTGTAAATCAGTTAAAGATTTTACTGATACCACTTTATTTTGGGTTAATCAAGATTTTCATATAGTGTAAGTTAAACTTTTAATCTTTAGCATTTTTTACCCTTCATGATAATCTGATTAATATAAACATGTTTACCTTTTTTTTTACTAATTGATTATTAATTCTGTTTTATTTTGTATCTTTTTCTCTTTCAGTAAAAATAATAAGCCACAACGTCGAGGTAAACTAAATCTAATTGGACGTCTCCAGTTATCCACTGAAAAAAGTCGTGAAGAAGATAACGAGAAGATTGTCCAATTGCGAATTTTAAGAACTCAAGAAGCAATTGTAAAGATAATGAAGATGAGAAAACGAATTACCAACGCACAATTACAGACAGAATTAGTTGAAATTCTCAAGAATATGTTTCTACCTTCCAAGAAATTAATTAAGGAACAAATTGAATGGCTAATTGATCAAAAGTATATGCGTCGAGATGAAGATAATATCGGTGTTTTCGTTTATATGGCCTAAAGAAAAACAAATCACAACTACTCTGACCATTGGCTGACCATCAAAAAGAAAAAGAATCAATTATATCATTAAGATCAAGATCATCGAAGAGATTAAATCAAAATTCGATTGTGTTTAACTCATCAATTTTATCAACGATAATTAACCAAACTCATCACTATCATTGTTGGTTTAAACTTCAACTATTCTTAATCTCTCTCTCCATCTTAATTATCTTTTAATTATCTTCCGTCAAACATATTCAACTCTATTGTTGACCATCAACAAAAAACCATCTCTTGTTCAGCCTTTTCTCCTCTTTTTATATGATCAATTCTAATTGTTGTAAATGCGGTAATTATATAAAATACTGTATAATTTTCTGTGATCATGATTAGTTGATGGAAAATGAAAGAAAACTTGAAATCCATTAACAGGGGAAACCAAAACTCCAATGAAGTGACAAAAAAAAAGACTAACATGAAAAAGTGGAACATGAAAAGACGCTGATTCATTTTAATGGTACAATCATATTTCTGACCATTATCATAACTTATCATCTTTCTTTTTCTCTCTCTACCTTCCCACAATCAAATTAGCTAATAATTAACTATTTATTTATAAACAAACAAAAAAAGAAAACGATGATAATCATAATAACAAAATGATTTTTTTGTTAATCATCTCACCCTGCTAATCAAATCATCCGATTTTACCATGAATGTTACATATACATAATTACCAACTAGAAATGTTCAAAGAGTCAAATTATGTTGAGAAAATGTGTAAAAATGAGAAACAAACAAAATGAGAAGCATTATATTTATTACTAATCAACAATTAACTTATTTATTTTCTATTAAAAATTTAACCCATTCCAAAAATGGAAATGATTTCGATAAAATTAATTATCCAACAATTAAGAAGCACAAACAAGAAAATTAGACGAAAATTGACTTAATCATTACGATGACAATCAAACAATCAACTGAACTTGAAAGTGGAAATAAAAGCTTAGTAACGATGAGAATATTGATTAATATAGAAAACATGACAATTGGAAACAATTAACGGTCACAATTAAGAATCTACTTTCGAGGATAATAGAGGTCGCTTGATGCTCATTCTAACGGTAAAAGGTGAACCAAAAGTAACGGTAAAAGGTGTAAGAGGAGTGAGTGTTTCTTTTGGTTACCTGTTTTTCTTGGATGATAATATGATGATGAGAATGATACTGCTCTGATAATCTCCTTTTCATCATCTTAACTGTAGTTGGATTAGTTAATCATTTAGTTTCATTTCGTCTTTTAATCAGCTCAACTTTTTTTTCGCCTTCATCTTCATCGCAACAATTTAGATACATTTTTGACTCGGTGATCATCATTTAGTCACTTTCAAGTTAATTGGACAATAGCCATTGATTGTGTACCTTAATTGTGCTTCTGTGATTTAGTGATTTATGGTAATTGTTGCTGGTTAACATTTTCTTTCCTCTTGGATTTGTTTACAATTAGCAACGATTTTTTTTCGTGAAACTTTCAAAGTGTTTTCATCGGTTTCATCATTATCACATTTGACTCTTAATTGTTTGACACCTTTGGATATTAATTCAGTTTATTGTAAGGCTAATTGTCCCAACCATTAAAAGGTAAGATATGATATCGAAAAATTAAATTGATTGTCAACAACAATTTAAACTCTTTCACTGTTGGTGATTAGTTTTCCCTCCAATTAGTTAACATGTGATGTTGAATTGGTTAATTGTTTGGACTTTAAAATGTTGTAACAACAATTAAATTTACGATTAGCTAATTCCAGTAGTTAATAAAGGAAAAGTTTCTCTTGATTGTTAATTAAAAAAAAATTGAAAATCTTCATGAAATTAGGTTGAAAAATCTATTCACCTTTAAGGGTTTTTCTTGTGATACAATCAGAAATAATCCCAAATAATCAAGGTAATTTTATCCAAGATTGAGGATCAATTTAAAAAGTGATCATCATCATTATCGTGCTTTGAATTTTACAATTAACAAGATTGAAAAATTAACTTACGGCAATTTAATAGTCTCACAAATCAGAAATTATCATCATCGCAATCAACTCAATTAAAAGTACTCTCGATGATAAAATTGATATATTAATACAAATCAGAAATAGTTTTTCCCTTTACCAATCAAATGAATAATAATTAATTATAATTATCAAATCAAATCTAATCTATTTATCAAAAATTAACTACAACAATTAGGGTAACAAACTGATTTAAAACAAGAAGAAATTAATATTATCATGACAATCATAATTAAGAGTGATAAACCTTGAACTTGACATTAACCATAAAGATGTTAGTTAGTTAATTGTTATAACATTGATCCGATTAATTGGTGAAATTGTTTAGGAAAACCAAATGATTATCTTAATCGCGATTATTATTACTCGAAACAATCAATACTGTATATTGATTGATACAGAAAAGTAATAGTAACACAATTGAGCAAATTAGGAAGTAATTTGAGTTAATAACAATTAACAATGTCTTCCGTAGTTGTTGTTTCTTACTATTACAATATTAGTTAATGTGATTACTATTAAACAATCAACAGCTATCAGTTGATTGTGAAAAACATTAACCCATAAAAAAAGATAATAATTTTCAAGATGAAAGATCAGTGAGAAGTGAGAAAGGTGATGATGATGATGATGAAGATAAAGATGATCGTTATTATTATCATCATAAAAAAAGATGATGATTTTCATCATCATTAAGGGTTGATGCCTCTCTTTATGATGATGATGATCATCATGATGATCATGATAAGGTTGGTTCCAGGGTTTTAATGATGTAACTTTTACAAAAGGATTGATTGAATTAACTTACGGATGAAGATGATGATGATGATGATGATGATGATGATGTAGCAAGTGAGCAAAACGTTTCAAGAGTATTCCTAATGATGATGATAATAGTGATGAATTTAACTGGATTAGTGTTCTTATCCAGTGCTACCGATTAGGCTAATTTAGTTTGGAAAAAAAAAGTTTTTTTTCAACTTTTCATTGCGATTCTGTAACTGAGAGGAAGAAGGAAAAAAATTTAAATTGTTATTAATAAATTCACCTGAATTCTGTTTCAATCATCATAATAATATATATTGATTATCCTTCAATGATTCTTGTTAGTTAACCTAATTGTGTTGTTTACTTTGTCGCCTGATACATTGACAATATTGTATATGTGTTTACAATTAAGCAAGTTGATGAACCATTGACAGTTAATGTGTCAACCAAAGGGTTTGATACCATATGAAACGGAAAGTATTGATTGTTGGGTGTCTTGTATCCTCTTTAATCAACAATTAATATTAATCATTGTGATGATTGTTGATTGTCTATTTAGATTGGAAAACAATAATCTTAACTTTTTTTTTGTTTGTTGTTTATTAATTTGGGACAATCCGGGACAATTGTCGTTGATTCAATTCACACAATTAGAGGTGGTGGTTTGTTATTAATACAAAACGAAAACATAATTAACATTATTCACTTGATTGGTAACCCTTATAATCACCATTAATTAGGATTAATTAGCATTACAATTGATCCAATACCACAATTACAACAGTAATTCACCCAATAGATTCACTTTGAACTCATCAAACTTGATCATAAATGATTTTGTATTCACTTGCAATCAATTAAATCTTAATCTAATTGTATCAATGTATTATTAGACTATTAGTTAATTGTTTAAGTGTATAATTGTGAGGGTTAAATCATAGGAAAGTATTTTGGTTCAATAGTTGCAACAATTAAGGTTGTGATTTGGAAAAGTTTTCAACAATCAAATGAAAACATTACATTTGAAGTTGGATGATTTTGATTTAATTGAAATTGGTCAACAATTAAGCCAATGACATCAAGACCTAGTAGGAATTGAAGGGAAGCAATTAGATTAACAATTGGTAATCATAACAATTTGCTTCGTAAGTTTTGAAAGTTAATGGTTTAAGTTTAATTGTTTACCTTATATTTTCTTGGATTTGTTGTTGTTGTTGATTGAATCTATTGATTAGTTGAAAAGTTAATTGTATTAATGGAAAAATTAATAGCTTTTGCTAGAGATTTTAATTGTGGTTTTCTTTTCTTGATCAATCAGCTAAATCACAATGAATTGTGCCCACGATTTCACATCATTTTCAGGTCAAAACGATAATGGACCAATATTAAATTATCTCAATTAAATACTACAGATGACAAGTTGATAACCCTTATCATAACCCTTAATTATGATTAATTAACGCAAAATCTATTCAAATATTATCGACACAATTATGGTAACATAACTGGACCATCAAGATATAATTTGATTGTCTTTTTCAACAGATTCATTCATATGAATCCCTTTCATCAATTGAATCAACAATCAACTCATCAATTGTTGATTCAATTAAAACAAAACGACAACAATAACAATAAGAAAACAATGTATCAAGATGTTACTAATTACTCTCGATGCTTCTTGATTTGCTTTCTAATTGCCAATACATGTAATAATTGTCTAATTGATTAGTTTCGTGCAAAGATAGTTAATTATTTTAGAAAGTTCTGAATCCATGATCACAAAAAATGCCAATAATTGTCTCAAACTCTAGAAAGTGATCTAAAAAGTAAATAATGATTACCAATGATCAATTACAATTGAACAATTTTCGTGATCTAATTTTAAATCAAATTATTGGAAATTGGGTCATATCTTCAATGGTGATTATCTAATTGTTACAATTTAAGAGCTGAAAAGATTAACAAAAGAGAGGAAATATCTTGTTAAATATTGTGATGATTAAAACTTTTTCCTGATTGAATAACATTGAAGATACCAAATAGATGAAGATGCTTGGTAAATAAGCCAATCGATCACCTTAAACCAAAGGTCCACCTAAATTCATTCATAAAAAGGTTAACCTAAGAGATAGAATTGAACATTTCCATGATAATCATCAATCGAGACCAGAGTGATAACTAATGATGAGTCAATATCATCAGGATCATCGATCATCATCATTACGATCTTCCTGTCATCTTAATTTTCTCGGAAAGGAAAAAAAGTTCATCTTTTTAATGAGAATAAAAATTTTCTGTTGTTTTGGAATTGGAAAAAGTGTCCATGATGAAATATCCAAATGAAACTCAGGCCATTGAAGAAAATAAAAGGAAGGAAATTGATGATAATGATGATGATAATTTCCAGTAATCTTCAGTGATGAGAAAGATGAAATGGTTTGTCTGAGTAAATTAGACTCTTTATGTCGCTCTACTGACCTCATGAGGCTTTTTCTTTAAAATCTATTGTAAGAAAAAAAAAGAATAATAATAATATAATGAATAGATTCTGAAGAGAAAGCATTTTTCATGAACATTCATTTTATCTTCATTCTGTATACATACTTACCTGAGCGTCTTTTCATGTGAAGACAGGTAGCTAATAATAATAAGTTGATTCGAAATGAAATTTTACCTTGAATCCTTTGCTTCTTCTTCCTTTTTTTTCTTTTCATCTTCATCTTTATCTTCCATTTACCTTTCTTCTATTATCTTCCTTTTCTTTCTGTATCACCTTCATTATCATTATCATCTTCTTTCTCTTCTTCTTCTTCTTGTTAGCATCTTCATCTTTCCATTATAACATATGATATGTAATTCATTAATAGTCTCTCTTAAGAAAACTCTAATTAATCTTTAGTATCCAAGGAAACAACATGAAGATAAAGATGATAATGATGATGATGATGATGATGATAAAAGATATTATGAAGAGAAAAGGGCAGAGTTTTAATTTATCTTCCATCTTTTCAACCTTGTTGTATATTAATTAGAAGATGAAAACAGTGACATTGACCATCTTCATCTTACACACTATGTTTGACCATCACTCAGGATAATCTTCAGGAGCGTTACCAGGTCAATCTTGTCACTAACTAGTGTTTATCTTAATCATCATCATAATAAAGATAATTTAAATCATCTTCGTAATCGATTAAACCTGGTTACCTGTTGACCAAACAAAGAAGAGAGAAAACTTTTTTTTTAGAAAAACAGTTACGTGAAGAAAAGTAAACAGATGATGGTCAGTTTTTCTTCCTCTTACAAATTAGAAAAACGAACACAATGAAAGAGAGAGAGAGATAGAGAGAATATGACAAATTGATGAAGATAAATTAAGAATCATCACCAAGAAATGAAGACTAACGGTAATCACGCATATACAGAGTAGAAAATACCGAGTTACTACCGTTAGGAACATGGTAATTTCTCATCAACAGTTTCTCACATTTGATGAATATGATGATGACTTAATTTCAATGAGAACACAGAAAATTGAATAAAACAATTAGACGACAATTAACGCGATTGAGAAGAAGAAAATTTCACCAACCAAAATGAGCGATAAAAGTTCACTTTAAATATAATAGCAATTTATCTTATTCTCACTCTACTGTTTACATTTCAAGTTCGATAAATGAGATCGTAATTAAAATTCGAACAATTTGTGAGTTCGATCAATAGAAAGAAGAAAGAAAATGAATCCAATCTAAAACAGAGAAGAAAAAAAAATCCAATTTCTGTTAATCATACTTCTCATTAATTAGTTAATCAGTTTTGTTGAAAATTCTTTTCCATGTTGACCAATCCTTAATTCTGTTGTTATTTAGACTCAATCAACATGATTCTTTTTCTTCATTGATAATCAGAGAATTAATTCCTTCTCATGTTTAATTTTCTTTCATAATTATTCAATATTAATCAGAGAAAAACATGATTACCAATATAAAGTTTTATTCCTCTTCCTTGTAATATAATTTATCTTTCAATTTCTTTGTTTTATCCTTAAAGAGAATCAGTAAAACCTTTTAAAGGGAAAACAAAGATTATCCTTTTAAATAATCTTCTTTCTCTTTTTTCTATTGTTAATTGTTACTAAATTGTTCTTTTAATACAATTCAATCAATCTAATTAACTGTGCTAATAACATTCTAACTAAATACTATTAAGAGAAAAAGAGAAAAGAACAAAACTTTTCATTGATAACAACCATCTAGACGAAGGATAAACATACACACCTAAAGACTTTAACCCTTCAACATGTAAACACTTTTTTACCGTTATAATCATCATCTACCATCATCATCATCATCATCAACAACAATGTAAACATGATGATCATCTTGTCCTTTTAACATTGATATTGTTTAATAATCAAATTTAAATCCTCTTTTCCTGATCATCTATTGAATGGTATTTTAATCCGTTATATTTTCAAGCCAGTTAGAGAGATGAGATCATAAATTTTTAAAGCGGATTAAGATCAAGAATACAATAAATATCCTCACGTATCAAAATGATGATGATAATGATGATGATGATGAAGTAAAGTGATAAAGGTTGATTCAACTTCCCTGTGTTGGTGTTTCCAATATAATATTTTCATTCACCATCATCACACTGAGCGTTTATTAGGTGGATTCATCATCTTCCTCACAACCGGATCTTCATCTTTATCGTTTCTCCCTTTAGATTTAATATTTTTTAAACATATATTTTAAATCTTCATCTTTAGGACCCAATTTACATGAGAGAGAGAGAGAGATGAAGATCAAATCATGATTGAATTGTGTGTAAATCAAATGATAATCATTCTGAAAACTTGATTCACAATCAGAGAGAGAAAAACGGAATAAACAAAATTTGGAATCTGTCAAAAACAGATTGGATAATTAGTTAATCATATTCAAGTTAATACATATATTTATAATCTTGTTGGTGTCAGTGATTTAAATCAAGATCAAAATATTTTTTTTCTCATTCAAAACGCCTCAGGGCCAAATTATCATCAGCTGAGTTACATAAACAACAAGTGATGAGTATGATTGAAAAGTAATAACAACAAAAGAAACCACAGTTTAATTGATTTAATTAATTACAATTTAAATTAATTGTTTATTTTCATTTCTTTTTTTTTTACTGAAAATAAAGTTAATTAACTGAATAGTTAATTGTTTACAATCAGTGACCTGAGTTTGAATATAAATCTGTTGAAACCACAACAAATCAGCGACGATTTAAATTGAAGAAAAAAAAATTCAACCAATTAACATACAATTAAAGGGCTATTTTAATTGTTACCTTGCTTTTTATTAACATAATTAATTGCTGTTGATGTTTAATTGTTAATTTCAAATTGCAGATAAACTTAATGTTTGATTTATTTGTAAAAATAAAATTTTATTGAAAACTCAACAAACAATTAGAGTCAATCATTAATTTTTTAATTACTCATTTCTAATTGTGAATAAATGATTGATCAAAAGTCTTAATTAATCAAGATGATTAACCTTTCGCACCCAAGAATTAAATTTGCTCAATTTAAATTTCATTTGTTTAAAGGCTTTCAAATTAAGGGGTTTGAGATTGATTAAAATATTTACTGGAATCACATTAAATCAAATTAACCCTTAATTACTGGATTAAATTAGTTAATCTAATTTAGAATACAGAAAATGAAATTTCAAGATAATTTTCCAATAAAAAAAGTATCAGGATACAATTTGAACATTAAATTTGTCGAAACTTTAACGAGTAACAATTAAGTAAATGATTTATAAATTATTTAATTACTATTATCATGACAATTATCATATAAATGTGATAATCAAACTCAATCCAATTAACATAAGAAATACATAAGAGGTTAAGGATTAGGGTTTGGGATTAAAGGTAAAAGTTGGATTAATAGAATTGTTTTGTTTTTCTCTAACAATTTAAACTTTCCTATTATTGTTAACACTCTTGTGGATTAAATTACATACAATTAATACATGGAATTAGCTTAGTCAACTGAGCGTGAAAAAAGTTTACGCTCTGGTTAAACCCCTGAGGCGGTTTTCTCGTAGAAACTTTTTCTTTTACTTTGTATTTAGAATACAATATAACCTAAGAAAAGAAAGAGAAAAATGAAAGGCGTTTTCATCTTCTCTTTCTTTTCTTTCTTTTGTTCATCATCATCAGAATAAATATACTTTTGGACACAATAAAACTGACCTTCTTTAAATTGTTACAATTAAATTAAATCTTTTACTTGGCTTTGATTTTGGTTAAGAGGTCAGAAAATTTTTTCTTGGCTTTGGTTTCCATGTTGATTAGTTAATTGTTTCCTTCCTGGTTGATTAATTTTAGCTCTTGATGGTCCATTTGAAAATCATTTGATTAATTGTTTCGGTTTATCTTGTCGATGGTTTAATCATTACAATTAATCTGCATGTTTGATTGTTGCAAATCTGTAAAGATAATTAGATGATTAATTTTACGCTAAAGTTAAGCTTGGGATAGAAAATCAATTTCATCAGCTAATCAGCTGATAATTAATAATCATTTTGTTGTTAGATTGAAATCATTGACTAATCACTTTACCCTGAGGTTTTAAATTGTTAATTGTAAATATTTTCATTTGCAATTGATTATTTTTAAATGATGATTGGCGATTTTTAATTAAAAATTTACATTCATTTCTAAATTTAGTTTAAAACCTAAGAGACTAAATTTAAAGAAAGACTGGAAAACAATTAATAATGTTAATTGAAGGCTGATAAATTATTACAATTAACGGGATAAAATTTTTATGTCAATTTAAAGTTAATCATAGTTATCATAAAGTTACCACGTTAACAGTTAATGATAATTGTTGATTCAGATTCTTTGGGAAAAAAATTTGTCAACATTCACATACTATTCAGTTAATTGAATTAAACTTTTCTTCACCAGTTAATTGTTATCATATATATACTGGTGATTAGTTAATCATGTCACTAGGCATAAATACAGACAGAATTAACAAATCATGAATATGGGAATGAGAATAATTAATTTCTTATTACCAGTTACTAATAATAATTGTAAGCAAGTTAATCTTATTATTAGTTAACAGGTGAAGAAAATTAATTTTCCTAATCATTGAGAATGAAGTTAATCAATTTCAATTGATAGTAATGATTAAGTGTTATGAAAATGATAATGGTTGTAATCTAATTTTAACAATATAAGGGTTTAAGTAAATAGGATTAGAATTGACCTAGACTTGGAAATATTAATTTCTAAATTGTGATTTGAATCAACGATAATGATAATGAAGTTTCTTACAATCAACAACAACCTAATTTGATTAAGGATTGATCAAGATGGAGAAAAAAAATTTTATAAACTAAGTGTTGTCGTCCATTGAAGGGTAAATTGTTTGAGTCAGATAATAGTTATTATATCAACAACAACAACAACAACAACCCTTAATTGTGACAATCAAAGTTTTTGTCAACAAATTAAGGATTACAATACAAAGCCAAGAAAAGGTCAAGGGTAAGTGATGATCATATTCAACCAATTTTTTTTGTCACTTCTTATTCACTTGAATGTGTCCATGTCAATGTTAGTGTATCGATTTTTTCACATGGAAGATCACTTTTCGGTTCCGTTGATTGATCTTGACTTCTTTGGCTAACTATCAGTAGTTAAAATGTTATCATTGATTCCCAATAAGTTGTAATCAAGTTGATTGTAAATCCAATCATCATGTATTGCGATGTTCTGATGATGGTGACCTGGAAAATTAAATTTGATAACAAAGCTATTAATGGATATTAGAATTGAGAAGGAAAAAAAAATAAATGTTTCTCCTTTTTTTGTGATATTCATTAAATCAATTGATTTGATTGTTGTCACATCAATTTGATTGATAAGTTGACAGTTTTCTGTTGAAATTGAATGTTTAACTTTCACTGGGAAACATGAATACAACAATTAATAATACATTTGGGTTACTAAGTATATAGAAATAATCAGATTTACCTGAAAGAATTTGAATCTTTTTTTGTTTTGTTTTTCGCAATCAATTTACTGATTAATTTAGAGGTGAAAAATTTGATTAAACTGATTGGGATGAAAAAATTAACTCACATAACTGGTGATCATGTTTCTTCATGATAACCAAGTTTCTTCAAGTCAAGTTATCTTCATACACTTTGTATCTATAACCAATTAATCAAAGTTACTCTTATCATCATCATCGCCATGATCATCACCAGGATCATCATCACAGTTATCTTTTATCATCATAATCATTTGACTCTTTCATTTGATGGATTATCGCCAAACACAATCGCGCTTAAAGTACATTTTAAAAATACCAACAGTGGTTTGGTCCAAATGTCTGTACTATTTGTATAAACGGACTGGTCAGTAATTCAAATGGAATCAAGTGTAAGAATAGAAAGAGCAGAAAAAAAAGAAGATTCTACAAAAAAGAGAATAAAAGAGAAAATAAATAAAAAGAATAATTTCAAATTAAAGGTTGATTACTTACTCTCTAAAGTATTGTGATGATGATGATTAAGATTGTTGTAGATAAATTGATGATGTCTGATAATCATTAGACTATACTGATGAAAATACCTTTTAACATCACGCTGAGATTATCCAGTTACCATTATCAACCGTCTAACTTGACCAATAGATATCATATCACAATTAAAAAAGAAATGAAAGAGAGAGAGAGAGAGAAATAATTAACGGTCAAGGGGAACAAAAAGAAAACGCCAATATAGACAAACGCCAAAGAAGAAAACGATTAATATTTACCTGTAATTCCAGAAAAGATTCACCTTCTTCTCCATCATCAATTACAATCAAACATCGAGAGAAAAGTCCAATCAATTAAATCACAATTAACCTTTCAAGAGAATTAAATTTAAATGAGTTTCATCTAATTGAAAGAAAATGAGATTATGGAAGGAAAAGAAAAAAAATTTGAGGGAATCACCATGGAAACGAATGTGTTGAGAGGGAAAAAGAAAATAATTAAACTTTTTATTCTCTCGATGTTTGATTACAATTATCGACAATTTAAGATCAGTTGGACATTCTCATTGGTCAATGAAAAGGTAACAATTTCACCCGAGGCCAAATTAATGCTGGTTATTATTAAATCGCCATTCGGATGTAGATAACAATCAGTTAATTGTGATAACAATAATAATAGATTATGAATCTTTGTTTATCAACTACTGTTTCTTTATTTACTTTTTGTTTTCTTTCATCATCTTGAATAGTTTTAATATCTTTTACAGTTAATGACCCACTTTCTCCTTGACCTTCATCTCCATCATCATCATCATCATCAATTCTTGTTCATCATCATTCAATATAATTATCGTTTGCAACAATTTGTCTTCAATTAGCCTTCCACCCTTGTGATAGTTATTACTTTGTTTAACTTTTTCTGTATGTTATCATCACCGTTACACTGATTGTTTGTTGATTAAATTGTTACCCTTCAATTTAATCTAATTATTTTATCAGTTTACAATCAACTGTATTACAATACACAATTACAGATTGTAATTGTAATTGTTTCAATTGCATCAACAAAATGATATGTTGGAGTTTTTTTTTTCATTTCCTTCCCGTTTTTTTAAATCAACAAAAATTCAGAAAATAATCAATTTAAATTGTTAATCATTTCTAACATGTAAGATTAACAAACGTTAATTGTTAAGTATCACCATTAATTTAATCAAATGTCAACCTAATGGGTTAAATTATTATCATTATTAACCTAAACCTGTTGATTCTGGTGATTAATAAACTTGATTGAGCTTTTTTTTATACTTTTCTGACAACAAATGATTAATATTAATCAATGATAATCACTAATCATTAACTTAATTGTAACACTTATTGATGATTTAACTGTCAAGTAAATCATTACTATAAAATATACTAAATATTACTCTCCTAATCTCCTAACCATAGTTAATCACTAGCTCTTAATTATTTTACACCCTTTACAATCAAATTAATCAATCCAACAACAATTTATTCTGATTCCTAAATGAAAATTGTAACAATTTGATTTAATTATGTTCTTATTTTTTTTTCCATCTATTCCTTTTCAGAACAAAGTGTTCGGGCTGATTTCCATGAGAAACGAATCATCATTAACTAATCATCACAATCAACCATCATGAGGAAGATAATATTTAACTCTTATTACCTCAACAATTTACCGATCATCAATATGATCACCATCATCATCATCATCTTATTAGTCAAGGTAAATAAATTGTTTCGTTGTTTACAGTAATCATCATCCTAATCAGAATTAAAACCAACAATTAAAAACCAATCGAATCAAAAACAAGTCAAACAAATTGGATAATAAGTTTTCCTTTAACAATTAAAGTACAAATCAAATAATCAAATTGTAATAGTAACAATTTACTTTATCCAAAGAAACATGATTGATTATAAACTAATTTAACTGATTATTTCACCTTCATCAACAATCATGATTTAAGGAACGAGACAAAATTTTCATTATCATAATTAAATATCACCACAATTTAAGTGTCTGATTTAATAATGTGATTAATTTAATTGTAATCAACATTAACCACAGGAAGATGTTTAGTTTAATCAAGTTTGTTGATTAAAATGACACCAAATTTATGTATACAATTTAACTCTATCATGAGAATTTAAATTTCTGTTGATCATTTTATGATAATATGATTAAATTGTTGTTAAATTTGTTCCTGATCATGACAATCATAATGATAAATATACTTGATTAAACATCACCATGATTAGGTCAATCTTTTTTTTTATATTCATGATTAAGATTAACGATTGGGTGAAATAAGATTATTAATAATAATAGTGATTTCTTATCAACATTAACCGTTAGAACTGAATCAGTAAATTGTTGAGATTGTATTTAGTTAAATTGTTAGATTAGGAACAAGTTTTTTCCGCCATTCCAATCATGATTAACATGTATCAACCTTTTCCATTGTGATTATATTGTCTCAACTGATCAGTTGATTACAATCAAATCAATTCATCTTTTTTTTTCTCATTCAATTGATTTTCTGTTCTGACAACTATTGATTAACATAATCAATAAATAACAATAAGATTTAATCTGCTTGACCATTGATCAACTAGTTAATTTAAATCACTGTTAGTGGTAACAATCAATGAAGAAGATGATTGATTTTATCTGATAACGTATTTATCATTAATCACACAATCAAACAATTTCCGAGTTAAATTGTTTCTTGATTGTGATTTCAAGGTAAAAGGGAAACAGCAACAATAATGATTGACAATCAATTCACTTAAATATAAATTGTTGATAACAATTTACTATCAATCCTTTTTTTTTGCTGTTTAATAAGTTAAATTAATCAATATATTAATAAACAAAACAAAAACACTCCCAATGATTAGTTGATTTAGTTTCACATGGAAATTAATTAACTTTCATGATAATATTATTTTCTCATAAACTGTTAATTGTTTACTTTCAACAACAATTAACTATTTGTCCGCATCTAAGTTTAGCTTTGGTTGAGATGATAGAGAAAAATTTACTAATTGTTGATTGTGACAATTTAACTTTTTCTCGTTGGTGACAATGAGATTTAAAACAGTTGATTAACTAAATTGGTAAAAAGTAAATTATTATAAATAATTAACATGATTTCTAAATTATATCTCTTCAGGTCATTCTCACAATTAATTTAATCACGTCAACATCAACAAGTCAAACAATATAACAATAAACCTGAGAATCAGAACAAGACAATTTAAAATTGTCAACATAATCATCATGATTAACTTAATCAACTAACTCTTTTTTTTTCATCATCAACACTATTATTAATGATTAAAGTGTTGCAATGAAATTAGAATACAACAATTTAAAGTTAATCAGTTTAAATTGTTGTTGATAATAATAACAATATGTATCGTCATGGTGATATCAATTGAAATAGAGATCACTTTGATTAAGATGATTAACTTTAATTTAATTTAAATTGGTTAAACATGATAACTGAACATTAATCATCTTCGGTGGTCAGTTGAGTCCAACTTTTAAATAGCCTGAGGGCAAAAACAAATATCTTAATCCAACAAAGTGTTTGTAAAAAAATAGGTCTACCTAATTTCATTTGAAAAGATTAATTTAAGGATAATTAATTAAAAGACAATATTAGTGATGATTAAGAAAAAGTTTTAATCATTTTGAATGAAGTGATTGAGAAAACAATTAAATCGGTAAAGTAAACAATTTACAATTAGTTGATTAAAAAGTTTGTAATTCTAATAGGAATTGGTAAAGTTTTTTTTCTCCAACTAATGATAATTAATTAGAATCAAATTAACCACAATAACTAAATTATTTCTAAATTGTTCTAATTACTTGGAGTTAAAAATTAAATATCAACTAATTAATTCTGATCAAAATTAGTAATTTTGATTAAACACAAGCCCATCTAATCAACCCTTACAATGATGTATCTAATTGTTGATACAATTAACTGATAGATTGTTAATATTATCTGTTTATATTTAATTTACTACTACTACTATTTGCTAACAATTAACTAATTGTGCTGATAAGTAAATTTTATCAATTACAACATGTAAATAAATGGCAAACCCTAATGAATAAGGTAACAAGTAACATCTAATTACAGGTTAGTTAGTTGATTATGATTAAAATTAACAATCAAGGTAAAGGGTCAAATCAGTACTGATGATGAAAATTGTTTTATTACAAGTTAATTGTTATAAAGTTAATGATAATTTACTGAATTGAATTGCAATTGATCAAATTATAAAGTAGCTTAAAATGTTAACTGTTTCAAGATGAAGTTAATTCATCAATTTGATTGTGACATTGATCATGATCATCATCAGTTGATAATCATGTATATCAACTAGCAGATAATTTGATTGAGTGAAAAAAAAATGAACGTGAATTTGGACTTATCATAATCTAAATCTTCCTTGATTATGATGATAATCATCAATATAATTTAACGATAACTGAATTAATTTGATGAAATAATCTTTGTACAAGTAGACATTTGGTTCATTCAACTTTTTTACCTTTCGATTTGATTGTTGATGGTCAGTATTTCGAGTTGTCCAGTTGCAATGGTCACTTAATTGTTAATCAAATTCAAGGTTTTACAATCAAAGTGTGAAAGCAAAAATTAACGAGAGCGTTACAATTATAATCATGATGATGATTGAGACAAAATATTAGAAAGTCCGACCCGTTAATTGTTTATTATCATGAGAAAGTAAATGATGGTCATGGTGTTGGTCATCTTCATATCAGAATATCTCCTCTCTCTCTCTCTCCTTTGATTTAACTATTTTTCTTCAAAAATAGAATTTAAAATCTTAGTGAGAGAGAGTGAGAGAGTAAATATAATAATTAGTTAATGAAATAAGTTTCTTTCAGCTATTTAATTAACTAGTTAACTGAGTATAACAATAGCAATCACGTTACCATGAATTAAATGTTTCATATCAACGTGTATTTGGACATTCAACTCATAATAGATTGAACCTGATATTCAGGTAAAAGGTAAAAAGATTAAGCAAAAATTAACTACTCACCTTAATTTCTTATATTTAATTTACTTTTTATGAGCCAGTTTTTTGACCTCATCTTAGCCTTTTACAGTTAATCGCGTTGTTGTTGCTTCTTCTTGGTTACACTTAACATTTACAGTAATTTATTTAATTTATCTTCTAATATCAACAACAATTAATAAGTAGATAGAGTAATTATATTAGCTAGTGAATATAAATAGATTTTCATTTCTGTGATAATCAAGAAAAAAATTTAGATAAATCAACTTGATATCAAAATCGATAATTTTTCAAGTTTAATATATTGATAATAATGAAGATTATTAATCAATCGGTTTTGATTGTTGTCTGTGATTATTGTTTTTAATTTGATTTTGATTTTGGTAATAAAAGGGATTAAACTGTTTTCTATTACAATCCAATTGTTTTCCGTGTATTTGTTTACTGATTGTTACATTTAACTGTCAAAGAAAATTTAATTGATTGTTTTGTTTTTCTAATTCGTTTTCGATATGTTCAGATTAACGATGCCAAAGAGATTGATAGTAAAACTGATCTTCTTCAGGAAGAATCTTCTGCCGCTGGTGAGCTATTTGCTGAACATCGAGCGCATCCCAGTTCTGTTAAGGTGGAAGTGGTAAACAGCCTCCGGTCACTGCAGTTCAACCCGCTGGCGGGAATGAACTTTGGCCTCTTGGTCGTAGCGAGTCACCGCAGATTAAAAATATAAACGTCAAGTGTGAAAAGAATCACATGAAGGTCAATATTGAATTCGATCGACCTTTCTATGGAATGATATTTTCAAAGGGTCACTATTCGGATACTAAATGTGTCCACCTTGCCCCTGGAACAGGTCAATTGGTCACTTCATTTGATATCTTTCTTGGAGCCTGTGGTATGACCTCTTCAGACCAGGCATCTTTTGGAACTGGTCGACCTGGAAGTGGACTTTACATTGAGAACACAATTATAATCCAATATGACCCTCAAGTCCAGGAAGCTTGGGATCAGGCGAGGAGACTTCGTTGTACTTGGTACGATTTTTACGAGAAATCAGTTACTTTCAGGCCGTTTGATGTCGACATGATGGACGCGGTAACAGCAAATTTCCTTGGTGATAATATTCAATGTTGGATGCAAATCCAAGCCGGTAAAGGTCCATGGGCTTCCGAGGTAACGGGAATCGTTAAAATTGGCCAGACAATGACCATGGTCTTAGCGATTAAAGATGATGAGAATAAGTTTGACATGTTGGTTCGTAATTGTGTCGCTCACGATGGTAAACATCAACCCATCCAACTGGTGGACGATTATGGTTGCGTTGTCCGACCCAAGATAATGTCCAAATTTCAAAAGGTCAAAAATTTCGGTACCTCGGCAACCGTAGTTTCCTATTCCTATTTCCAAGCATTCAAATTTCCCGACTCAATGAATGTCCACTTCCAATGCGTTATCCAAGTTTGTCGCTACGAATGCCCTGAACCTAAATGTTCAGGTTCGATAACTGGTTCTGAGTTACCCTTCCCTGGACAAATCAAAGGTGGAACAGCATCAAGTGAATCAATTAATCCTCGAGATCCCTCGCTAATCGCAGTCTCCCCATCGACCTCACTCGAAACCGATGAGACAAGTTTACATGTTGATCGAGTTCCCTCTCCACCAACATTATCCTCAACAATTGGATCAGCTAATCACTTCCTTGATCCAACCAAAATGACAATGCTTAAAATCCCAACAGGTTATCCAAATGGATCACCTTATCCTCCAGACATGTTCCTAAATCGTCATGGAGATGGATTAACAATCAATGAATATTCATCAACACCCAATTCATTAAACAATTTAACCCTCTCTTCAAACAGCACCAATAATAGTAAACGTAAACTACCAAATGTCTCATCAATCGGAGGAATGCCAAGATCAACCAATTTATATCGAAACGATTATAATCACAATCGTAGCTCATCAAGAAATAGGCAACGAAATCGTCGACAAACATTATCATCATCATCATCATCTTCTTCTTCATTATCTTCATCATCACCTCGTTACACTGATATTAAAACTGAGAAGATAATCCGAGTTGTAGCTCCCGGTGACGTTTCTTTTAATCTTCCAACATCAAATGATGAAGAATCGGGTAATCTAACGATCGTTGATGTTTTATCAAATTCAAACTCAGAACCAGTTAGTTTACTTTGTATGTCGACAACTAATTTCATGATTTGTTTAATCTCCTTAATCCTAATCCTTTGCATGTCAACATTAATCGCTGCATTTTTCTACCTTCGCCTGAGGGCTTATTCTCAGTGTAAAAAGGGTAAAATGATCAATGGTTTATCATCATCTTCATCACCTTCATCAACATCTTCTTTTTTCACAAATTCAACCACAACCGGAACCGGAACAACATTTGATGAGTACAATAAAGTTGCTACACTGCAAAAGTTTCACTTTCCAAGGTAAACTTGATTTCCAATGAAGTTTTCACAGGATTAAATGGATTACCATCCAATAAACAACACTTTAGAATCTTTAATTTAAACCAATTATAGGAATCAAAACAATCAGCTAAAAGAAAATTTAATTCAACTTTTAAATTGTTGGTGGTTTTCATCATCTTCAATCATCATCATCATCAACAACATAATCATCATCGCCATAATCATCAACATCATCATCTTCATCTTCTCATCAGCAATAGAACAACAAAAAGAGCAATTTGTTTAATTCTTATTAATTGTAATGACAATTAAATTACAATAATTAAGATGTGAATTAATCCTGAATCTTCAGGATTGTGATGATTTAATTTGATTAATGTTTTATTATCCTTGTTTATTTTTTACACAATCACGTTAATGTTAATTGTTTTGATAGATTTATCTGTTTGTTTGTTGATATATGTTAATGTTAATCAGCTAATTTTAATCATAATGTTTACCAATTTATCACAATCAACAGAAAACTTTTAAATTGTTTCCCGTAACAATTTACTGAGTACCAAAGTTTTGTTGTTGTTGTTGTTTTATTATGAAAACAAATTGATTAGGTTTTTGAAACAAATACAATCAAATTTAGGTTAAATTGGTTAAGTTAAACATTATAATTAGCTATTAATAATAACAATTAAATTACCTTTACTAATGAGATGTTTTTGCAATTGATTGATTAAATCAATCAAAGAGAATCAATTTTCCTAATTTATGTTAATCCTTTACAATTAACCAACTTTTATCATTAAGTTAATTATAATATGTACTAGATGAAAGTTATTATATTATTTAAGAAATGATTAGTTATTTTTGCCGCTTAATTGTTACAATTTATGTAAACAACAATCAAACCCCCTCCTACACACACACATAAACATTGTAAACGATTATGATTAAGATGATTGATGATAAATCATCAAAGTAATTAATCTTAATTGATCTGATATAACCAAATTAACCACCAGTGATACAAAAATAAAACCATCAACAACAATTAACATCAATCACAGACAAAGATGAACCAATCAACTGTAATCAAAGTATTCAAGTAATTAACTTGAACTATTTAATTGTTATGATAATCATTTTAATTGTAATGCTTTGTGTTTTAAATGATATTAATCATTTCGCCAAAAATATTGTTGATCAAAAATTTCCGAGCACAGAAGCAAAAACTAAAGGTTAATTATTACAATTAAAAAAAGTGTAAAAATTAAACAATTTAACGAAATTGACAAATTCTCAATCTAATTTCAATCAAATAATTGGCTTCATTAATTAATAGGTTATCGGGACAACAATTAACAGATGAGTTGGGATGATTAGTGTTAATCAAATTAAATCCATCAGTAAATCAGTGAATCAAAACTTAACTAATCAATAGTTTAGTTTTTGATTTAGATCAATTTGATTAACACTTTTTTTTTCTTGATAATAATTGTGAGAAATTAATTGTTAATTGTGAAAGGTAACAATTAAAAGTCACCAACAAAAACAATAACATGATGATCATCAACTTTTTTCATTATCAAATCAATTAACTAATAACAAAATAACAAAAACTTTCACAATTTGATTGTTACAATCAAAATTTATATAAATTTTGTCATCAATGGTGATCAATGATTTAGTTAATTGTACAAAAATAGATGAACAATCAATCGGTGTGAAAGTTAATGAAAGTTTAATATTTTTCATTGAAATAATTAGTAAATTGTTACAATACTTTAGCAGTTTACTTTTGATTGTGTTTTAATTAAAGTTGCATAATCTAAATTGGATTGTAATTACAATTAGTGCACTATTGTGATAACAATTAACGGAGCAATAAACTTTTCACCATTCTCAAGGTAATATGATGAGTTTAATTGTTACAATTAAAGAAACATGGTTAGATTATTGGATAATAACAAATGATCATTTAAAATGAGATAATTTTGAGGTTTTAATGATTAAGAAAAATGTTTATTAAACTGATTAGATTAACTGATTAATCCAAGATTAGCTTGTTAATTGTGATGTTACCCCAACAATCAACCAGCAATTAGTTAACATTTATCTGATTGTAACTGTTCACTGTCTACTGTTTGATTAATTGTACAAAAAAAGCAACTCAACAATTTAAATCATCATGATAGTGACCTCAATTAACTCAAACCAAATCAAATTAAATTGTGTCATTTTCAAAACTTTATCACTGGACCAGTTAATAAACTTCAAACTTATATAATATGCTAATTGTTACAATTTGTTAATTGACAAGCAAAATCACATGTATAAATATAGATGAAGACTTAACAATCAAAGTTAATTGTGATCAAGTAAAACACTTTCAAATAGGAATTGAAATTAAATGTTGATTACAGTTGATTGTTTGGTCCAAAGTTTATTATTTGAATTATTTGATAGAAAGGAGCAAATATCAACTATTGATTGTAAATGTGGACAATTAAATTGATGGAAATGGTTATTAATGAACCATAACAATAATTAACAATGAAAATTAAATGATATATGATTGAAATGATTAAGAGATAATATAACAATATGATAATAATAGAGGTGAAAATAGTTAATTACAATGAATAGAAAGTAGATTAATCCTTGACACGGAAAACCGTCCATTCGTTGAGACGATAAAGTGGCCTGAGGACGATTCGATTATTATATTAGTAGTTCTGACGATAAATAATCATCTTCTTTATCTTCATAAAGAAAAGACAACAATCGGCTTTGATTAATTAACTAATTGTATCGGTCATCATTAGATCATTGGATTTACTCGAGTTTTTTTTCTTGGACATTGGTCATTGATCATTCACCGTGACGGGAATAAGTAACATGTATGATTAAGATGATGATGATGATGAGATGAAGATAAAGTGACCAGTCAATTGAAAAGTTTAAATTAAGTTGATTAGATGATGATGATTAAAGATGATCAGTTTGATTTGGATGATTATGTTATCCTTGTTGTTATAAGCCAACAAATCATTGGATCATTTGATTAACTGGGAAAGGAATCAATTTTGTTGTTGTTGTTGTTGTTTCTAATTAGGTTATACAATTAACTAAATTAAACCACTTCCAATGGTTGTCAATTAAGGTTAAATTGTAATCTATTTATCAGGCGAAAGGTAAACAATTAACTGAACAAAACTTTTAAGACCAATTTGATGATCAACTTAATCTATTAAATTACCTTATTAGTGAATATTTAATTAATCAGATAATTTAGTTGGTTAATTGTTGGAAACAATTAAGTTTCATTTTATTTGTTTACTTTGTTTATGGAAATGGAAACAAACAAAAAGGTAAATACAATTGTCTTATTGCCGATGATTAGTTAATTGTCGAGTTTAAATTGTTTATTTAATCGTTGATTAAGTAAATTTACTTGATTCAATTAATCATATTGTTGATTAAATATAGATTTTTCGTTCTCGAGCAATTAAAAGTACAATTTAGATGGAGAAACTTAAAGAAAAACAAAATTAACGTTTACAATTAATTGTCATCATTTAAATTGCAATAAGGAAGATGATGATTGATGATCAAATTTAATTGTGAACAATTTAGTTGATTAAAAGAGATACAATTTAAATAATCTTATATTTAGGAACAATTAAATGAGAAAGAGAAAAACAAAAGTTGATTAATTTTGGCTTAAAACTAATTAACACAATTTAATGGGTTGATTTTGGTTTCATCATAAAGTATCAGGTAATTAATTGTTGTGGTATTTTAATTGTTGTTGATTAGGCTTCTGGTTTTGCATTTATCATAATTAAACAAGTCACAAAGGTTTTACACAGTTAATTAATTGTTTGAGAAAATTGTCGATTTTTTTGTTGATTGTTAATCATTTCATTTGAAAATCAAAATCAGTTACACAAAACATAAAGGTTACAATCTGAATCTAATTGTCAACAATTAACATTTGACATTGATTAGATTGATTCATCTTTTTTTTTCGTAGTCATAATAATATAATTATATCATCAGTTAATTGTTAAAGTTAAATTGTTATTATCTCATATATTTATAAGGTGTGAAGGGTGAGCAATGTTTTCATGCAAGACAATTAATTGTTGATGATAATGATACAGATATTTAATTAGAAAGGCTTAATTGTTGGTTGATTTGTTTCTCCTTCTTCTTGATTCCTTGTACATAATATTGAAACAATTAACGGGGAAAAAGAGTTAGTTAATTGTTGCTTTTTATACTTGGTTCATTTTCCTAGGAAATGAGATTGGAAATGATTAAAACCATTGGTTAATTGTTCTGATGGTTGATTATGATTAGGACGATGAAGGTGATCAAAGTTAATACGATAAGATTGATTTTCATGATGATAATTAGCTTAGTAAATTGTTTGGTAATTTAGTTGATGATGATAATGATTTAATCCCACTTGATGTTTAATTCTGGTTGTTGATCATTTGATTAATCCAAATTGAGAAAAACCAAATTAAAACTTTCACTTTTGAGTTAATTGTTTGATACGAATCTCTTGTAAATTAATTGTGTGTTGTGGTTCCAATGGTTAAGGACAAGTTACAATTAAAGTTAATTACAAATGGTTGATTTTGTAGGTGAACAATTTAGTGAATGATTAAATCAACAATCAAGAAAAACAAAAGTTGGTACAAAATCAAATCAAATTAAAATTGGTTGTCAAAAATACAAATAATTGACTTTGATTATTGATCAACCAAATTTAGATTGTTATTTGTTTGGTTTGTTGTTTTTACAATTAGTTATAAGCAAATTAATTATTTTATCATTAGAATTGATTGTTAATTGGTTTACATAAGAAATAAATGATTAGTTAATTAAGAGAAATGAAACAAAATTGTGTTTACATTGAAAATCTATCAAAATAAGATTCCAACAGAATGAAAATTAATTCTAATTGTTACAATTATTAACACCCAATTATTTGAAAAATATCAATTAAAAGGAAGAGGAGGAAAAATTGTTATTAATCATAATTAATAAGATATAATAATAATAATAGTAAGATAATTATTGTGTTCAATTGACAAGGCAAAAGTTCAATGTGTATCCATATATATGTTGAATTTTCTGGATTGAAACAAAAAAAAAGTTAATCATGGGAAAATTAATCGATCACAAATTGTTTCCCATTGATTAACAATTTAAAATGGTTAATTAGATACACAGAGAAAGCATAATAATGAACCGAAAAAAAAAATTCATAGAAAGAGTTTTAAATTTTTAGGATTGGGAAGGTTTTGAGAATTGATTGTTAAGGTGGTTAATGGTGTCCATAAGTGAAGAGTGTGAAAAAACAACGATGACCATTTGAAGTTGTATTTGGTTTTGTTGTGGTCAAGCATTTGATGGTGTATGTGGTGTGTGGTGTGTGTGTGTGCTGGGGTGGTGACAATGAGCATGGTTCATAAGCTGTGAAGGTGATAAGCTTGTTGGTGTTTTTTTTGGCGGCAGCAAATCTTGAGAGTTGAATATACTTTTGGTGGGTAATTAGTCAACCAATTTGATTAATTAATTGTAATGAGAGAGAAAGAGAGAGAGAGATGAATAGCTAAAGATGGAGAGAGATGTTGTTGATGGATTAATGGTGATTAAGAGTTGTATGTGTATGTTATTTAGTACATTAGTTAATTGTTATTATTAGTATTACACTCTAGGTAATTGGAAATAAGTTAATTAAGGAAATCATTTGATTCATTGGTAATCAATTAATTTGTCATTAGATTGTAATTGACTTATTTAACCCTTTTGATACCATTAGAGTGTAATAACTGTAAATAATGTTTGTTTGTTTGTTTGTTTAACTACAATTTGGTCTCACAATTAACTCTAATTATTGTGACAAAGCATCTTGTGATTGGTGGTTGATTGATTTTCAATTGATTGGTATTGATGATTAATATTAAGGATCATTTTTACACCTTATATTATATAAAACTGTGTATATAATATAAAGATGCATTATCAACAGTATATAACTAAATTAAAGTTGAATTTTCATTTAAGTACAAGATGATATTACACCTTAATAAATATAACAGTTAATTGTTGTTGCTTTGTTTTATCAGGCAAAGAGATTTAAGATGGGAAAAGTTCACCAGAAAGAGATAATTTTATCGAAACTTTTGGAAACAATTAACTCTTCCTGATGACCTAAGGGTAAATATGTCATGAGTCTTGGACTAGGCTTTGGAATTACAGTTGAAATACAATATATATGATTTGTTATTTGAGAGAGAGAGAGAGATAAATGTTCTTGAGTAAAGCATGATAATGATGAGAGAGAACAGTTTGAAAGACAGAGAATTGGGAGAAATGATGATGTAAAGAGGGAGGAGGGATTTTCGGTCTTGACTTGGACAGACACCTTAGAGAAAATCTTGAATCTCAATTTCGACAATTCAAGTTTCTCAAAATAATAGTAATAATTATAATTAATAATAATAGTTGATTTGGTTAAGTTTCGTTTTGTTCAACTAACTCAATTACACAATCACCATCTCCAAATATATTGGGTGAACTGAAACTCGAGAATCAAAACAATCTAATCAACAGAGAAAATTTTGGACTAAGAAAATTGATAAAAATACATTTGAGCAAAGAAAAATTTTCTTATCCAAAAATTTTTCAGGTCACTCGATGACCCAATGGTCAATATAGTGGGAAAACATTTCAATTATATTAATAGTAATTAAATGTTTCCATTCACAGTTGATAAGAGGATCTCGCAGTTCGGATTCACCCATTATATATAAGTTTTGCTCATTTTTTTGTTTATTGTTGACTGATTAGTTATGATAATGTTACAATCTAAAAATGGTCAACTTTGTTTTTTTCACAATGTTATCAATATGTAAATGTATTAAATTGTTGAACTGATTGTAATAATAATGGTGATTAATTGTCAGATTAAAAATCAAGACAAGATGAGAATCATCATCATTTTGCATGGAACGATAACTGAAGATTAATTTAGATTCTTTTGGGGGAGTCAAAATGTTACTGTTTTAGTTTTTGGTGATTTTTTTTTGGACTATCTTCGAACCTTTCGAATCAGGTCGAAAAAGAAAGAGCAGTTAGTTTGACCTTCATAGAGATGAGAAATTAAAACGGGATGAGTAAGAGATATAATGCGTTAATATTGAGAGAGAAGGAGGAAGCTAAAACTTTTTGGTATATACACTCACTTAGACGTCACTGATTTTTTTGCAAGAGGGGCTTTTTAGAAGTTAAATTGTATAATTTTGCTTTGTTGCGCAATTATCATGAGCTTTTTACACCATAAAGATGGTGAGACGTAATAGAGAAACACAAACAGTCGAAATGAGAGTGTTTGTGATGAGGTAGGAAGAGGGAAGGGACAGTGAGGGAAAGGAAAAACAATCGATTTCAAATAGATATGAACTAGTTAATAGTAAATTTGTTTGGCCTCTCAGTAGATTAATTGATTGCAAGAGAGGAGATAATCTCTTTCATCATCTTGTCAAAACCTCTTCTTCGATGATCATCTCTTTTTTTTAATAAATTTATATAGATGTGTTAATATATATAAATGTATTTTTCTTTGATTTTTTTGTTTCTTTTCTCTGAAGTAATTTCTAAGTGATCTGAGAAGAAGAGATGATGAATCAAGAGATGGGAATAAGAGCGGAAGCAAATAAGTTGTAAGAGAGGAAGAGAGAGAGAGAGAGAGAGAGAGATTTGGTGGTGGGTGAGTAGGTTAAGATCATTGTCAAGAATGAAAATACAATGAGAATTGAACATGACGATGATGATGATGAAGAGAAACATTGGATGAAAGACAAGATGATGAACCACAGAGCAGGAAGAAAGTAGATGAATTTTGCTTGAAGAAAAAAGAGGAAGAATGAACAAGTGTGAATTAACTTTTCCTCCATTTGGGTTGATCAATTGTCTTCTTTGTCTTTGATGTGTATCCCTCCACCATGTGAATATATATTGGGGAAGAGATGAAAAGATGATTATTTGCAACAACCCAGTGGATAACAAGTGAACCAGGTCCAGAGATGATAATGTTGATGAGAAAAAGATCAAGGCCAGGATAGTAGTTAATTAATTGTTTGTTAGGCAGGAATAAATTGGTGATGTGCACTAATAGAAACATTTTTGGCTTAATCGTCAATAAAGTTAGCATCGATGATAAAATATTGTTTGTTGATAAACTAGTCTGAAATCATCTAACTTTTAAAGTTCCCAAGGGCAAAAAAGAAAGGAAAGATAAAGAGGCAAAAAGTAGAAACATTGAGGACAAATTGAGAGATGAAGTTAAATAAGGATTAAAGAGAACAAAAAAAAATGGAAAGGAAAAAATTGAGAGAAATGTTGACAAAGAAAGTGATGCATGAGAATATGGATTATGTGAGGATTCAAAAAGGTTTTTCCAAAACTTCGGAAAAGCAACGGCGACGAGATGAGATGAGAATGGGTGAGGAATATGTACTATCATCAGGAATATATCCTCTCATGACTTTAGTCAAATATCACCGTTGATGCTCATAGTCCATATTCATCTGATATGGCTATAGTTTTTGTATGAAGGTCGATGAAGGTCAACATCTCCAAAAGTAGATGGGTGTATACACATGGTACTTAAAAGGACAACTTAAAATCTTTTTTTTTCGTTTTTCTTGATGTTTATGTTGCCATCCTTTTTTTTTGTTTTAAGTAAATGAACATTAAAGATGATTGGGCCAATCACTGTACTTTTTGGGTTTAAATACCCTGTGTATGAGTAATGATTTGGACATCATTGAAAATGAGCGAAGAACAAGTTACTTAGACTTGGGCTTGGCTTGGCTTGACTTGATTTGATTTGACTTTTGTTTATATATATACCACATCTAGGCTTGACTGAAAACTTGATTCGACTCGACTTGTCTTGTCTTTGAATGTTTAACTATTGTAATGAGTGATTTGGGTATGAATTTGAAGATAAATGGCTTGAATATGTAGGTTTTTATCTTTTTGTTTGTTGCATTTTGCATCTGGATTGTAAGGCGGTATCGATTAAGAGGTCAATAGATTCTTTTGGTAATCCTTTGTAACGTTTGCCCTTGGGGTTAAAACAACAAGTTGCCCAAGTCAATTTAAATTAACATTAAATCACATCCATTTGTTCCCAATATTGACTCCCATACCATATCCCACTCCATTGCCATTATTCATCATTCGGGAAAGAAGCAGATCTTTGGGTTCAAGCCCATTGCTGAGATGATCACCTCCTTCATTGGAAGGATTCATCATCCAGTTATTAAAGGTGCTTGATTGAGGACGGATACCTGCCATTGATTGATCTCCACGAGGACCAAGTCGTTCTTGACCCATTCCTGGAGGTGGACCTCGAGTCTTAGTCATAGATCCACCACCACCTCCACTCCACAGAGTTTCGGGATTATGAGTTTCATTTGGAATGGCACCCCAACCTAAAGATAAAAATAATAATGGAAGAGTTGATCAGAATCAAGACTAGTCAAGACTAATCAACTAGTGTTAGTCAACAACTAACTTACCAGCATTGGCACCAGCATTAAAAGCCCAAGTGGCATTGGAAGATAGTCCAACTGATGGAGCCAACATTTCATTATTCAATGTATTTGGACTCGCACCTTTGGCTGACCAATTGTTGTACAAACCGGTTAATATTGCTGGATCTCGGATTGTGTTCACTGAAAGGGGAGATCGGGTCACACTACCGGGAGTTATATGAGGATCATCTTCAATTTTCATACCAGATACACCTTTCCATGGTTTACCAGGCTCAAATTCAGGAACAAGATTATTAATGTCATTCAAGTCCATACTGTTAACTGTTGTTTGGCTTGGAGCTGTCATAACTCCTCCAGTTACTCCTGAAGAGCTTGACATGACTAAACTTTTAAGATCTCCGGCTTGTGTACCATTTGGTCCCATAATAGAGGAAGGAACAGAGTTTGAGGCCATTGACACAGCATTCAACATGGAATCTTTTGACCAGTTTGAACTTTCACCGCCTCCATTTCCAGGGAAACTCAGTCCAGACCAACCTCCGAGAGAGGGGAACCATCACCACCCACATTGCCCCTGTTCAAACCTGAGACATCATTAGGATGATTCTTGGTCGAACCTGGAGCACGAAGGAAATCATTAGCATTGTTTTCTCCTGCCGATGATCCATGTTCGTCTCTATCGTAGTTGTTGAACTTCCATTTTTGTAGTCGTGAATGTTGACCTGAATTTCCTTGTTGCTGTTGTGAGTGATGACCTTGAGAGGAAGCATTCATTGAATTCATTCCTCCATTGATGCCAGAAATGCCAAGCCCTTGATGCGCACCAGCACCACTTTGGGAATAGTCTTTGAGCGTCAAATCACATAAGTCATTGTTCAACTGTTGAATACTATCACCGTCTTTAAGGAAATCCATGCCAGCTCCATTTCCACTACCGTGATTTGCATTGAATATTGGAGCATTAGTATTGCCAATACCTGATACCATCGATGAATGGAGGGCTCCTCCTCCTCCTTGAGCATGAGAAGATTGTGCAGTAGCCAACATTTGTTGTGACTGATTCGCTCCTCCACCATTTCCTCCATTACCACCTCCAATGTCACCATTGGACTGAGAGTAAATTAATGCAGAGGGATTAACAAGTGATCCTTGAGAGTGAGTTCCACCTCCTCCAGTCAACTGTCCCTGTTGTTGCTGTTTAAGGAACAGTCCCTGTTGGATAGTGATCTGATTTTGTAAATTTTGGATACGCAACTTGGTTTGAGTTATTTGTACGTGAAGATTTGACTGAGAAGAGTTATTGAAAGGACCCCCGTTTTTGGGGTGAGAGGCAATTTGCATTTGTAATGATTGGAGTGTTTTGATATTTTGTAAAAGCTGATTGATTAAATGGATTGTTGGTGCTGCCAACGGTTGGTTCAATATCTATAAAGCAAAGAAACGACAATCAATCAAATTAATAATCGGACACAGTAATTAAAAAGAGTAACGAATCAAATTTCAAATACCTGAGCATTAAGGTGGCCAGATTGAACAGCTAACTGTATCTGTTGGACCAAATGCATCAATTGTTTCTCTGATGGCAAATTGGGTTGGCCAGATCCCAAGTTTTTAGCTGCTTGATTTCTAAGCACATTTTGGACATGATTGATCTAATTTGTGGAAAATAAGATGATTAATTATCAATTTTAATGTAGGGTAAATTATGTAAGCCAAGAATCGTTAATGATTCTAATGAATTGATGAACAATTCATCAACAGTGTAATAATTGCAAGAACTTACTGAGGGCAATGCTTGAGAAGGCGCTTGATTAAGCTGATGATGAATTTGGCTTTGATCATGCTGTTGCTGAGAAGTAGACTGTTGGACGTTAATGATATGGTCTTGAGTCTGAGAGGAAAGAGTCACTTGAGGTTGGGTCTGCTGCATCCCTTGAGATGGATGCCGGTTCATAATACTGGAAAGATTTGAATTTGCGAGGCAATTCATGATTAGACTAGTAGGAGTATTGCTGCTGGCCTGACCTTTACCCCTCGAATCCATATCGCCCATATTATCACGAATTGAGAAGTTTCGACCGAAATCTAACAAGAGAAAGTTTTCATCGTTAAATGAGATCTAAAATAGAATGTAAAAATGAAAACTTACTGAGAAGATCATCTCTCGATACTCCACTGGAACGTAAGGCATTTTCAATTTCTTCCCTCTGTAATGATGAAAATAAAACATTTTAATATTTTGTTGAGAGTCCAGTGTATGCCAAATAATTTACCTTGCACCCAATTTCCATCAATATACGGTAAACTTTACTTGGATTCAACGATTCTTTGGATAATTGTGATGGTTGTTGAGAAGGCATTCCTTGTTTGGCTTTGTTCCAATTGTTATCATCCATTGGATCATCACCAGATAACCAATTGTTTGCTCCACCACCGCGTCCTTTAGCTCCCCAATATGAGAGAGGACTAGCTGGTGCAGCTTCTGATCCCCAACCACCAGCACCCATATTACCTCCAGGAGTATTAGGTGTACTGGGAGCAGTTTTTGGAGTTCCACTTTCGTTCTGTTTCTGACCCCAAACTCCAAAACCTTGAGACGAAATTGAAGCATTAACATCACGTTCATCTTCATTTGAAGGGTTAGTATTAAAATTATAATTGTTAGTATTGTTAATATTCATATTATTAGTTGGATTATTACCTCCAACAGGCATTGGGTTATTTTTTGAGTTTTGGTTATCATTCCAACCTCTATTCATTGGTTGCTTGTTCCAAAGATCATTGCCTGAGTTATCACCGACATCAACACCATCGTGCATGAGATTACCTGCCATTCCATTGGCTTGTTTGTTTTGGTTATTATTATTGTTGCCGCTGTTACCTTTGTTACCCATATTATTTGAGTTGTTACCCTTGAATCCTGGAGCACCAGGGGGTAATCGAATCATTCCTGGACTAGGAGAAATCAATCCCGAACCTGCACCATTTCTGTTCTGTGAGGCAAGAGCATTATTTCCATTGGCACTGTTACCTGGCATTTTGGCATTTGCTGGATCCTTCCAACGAGCAATTTTATGATGGATTTCTGGTTTTCCCCAAACGGCTGTTCCATCATCAACACCATTACCGGAAGCGCGAGGAGCTGGAGGAGGGGGAGGAGGAGCATTTTTCTTAGCATTTTCTTCATCAGCTTCCCAGCCTGTGGGTTGAATTGATTCACATTTATTAAACCCACCTTGTGCACCACCTTGGGCAGTGCCCCAGGTATCAATATTTATTGAGCCTGAACCTGAACCCGAAGATGCTGATGAAGAGCAAGAGCTTTTCATGTTATTGCTGTTCATGACATTCATATTGTTATCACGTTTCATTCCAACATATGAGTTGCCCATGTTTGAGCTCATACCGGCCATTTGACCACCGAAATTTCCAACCATCCCAGCGTTTGAAACATTCGCAGCATTATTCGAGCCCATCACACCATTATTATTGTTATTGTTATTGACTTTGGTTGAGCCTCCCCAAATTGAGGTTGCATTGTCAGAGCATGAATCGAATTCTGAGTAGAGAGAAAAACAATAATGAGAAATCAAATCAAATCAAATCATCTTTTCATATGGGTTACAGACTCTCTCTCTCTCTCTATTCCTAATAACCAAATAGTAATCAAACAATTGTCGTTGATCGAGTTCTACTTTATAGCAATTTGAATGTTTTAAAGGAAAAAAGGAAAAAAAAGGAGTCGGGAAATCAAACGAAACTTGGAAAACCGTAATACATTGTGAGAGTAATAGACTGTACACATTATAGGTGAGAAAAAAGTTGAACAGATGTGAGTGATAAACAAAGCACACAAACACATTCACTGTTCATGAATGAGAAAAAATTGTAATACTTACCGGAAGGAACTGGTTGATGATGATGATGATTGTTGTTGTTGTTGTTGTTGCTGTTGGCTGAAGGTGTAGTGGTAGGAACAGGAGCTGGAATACCACCTACACTTCCACTGGTCATAGGAGCTGCCGCAGAAGCACCGGAGGGAACTCCTGTCCAAACGTTACTTGAATCCTCTTCTTCACCCCAAGTGCCTCCAATATGAGATGCAGAGTTATGGCCCCAAGGTTGAGATACCTTTTGATTCGTTGAAACTGTTGATGACGATGATGTTGCTGCTGCATTTGCTACATTTGCTGATGATGCTGATGATGTAGCTGAAGCCGCTGAGATAAGTGCTTTGGTTTTATTACGGACGGTATATTCCCAGATTTCTGTGCCAGTAACAGAGGCACCAAAAGACCACATAACGCTGTTTACATTTGGACTTGGTTGGGAGGGTGGAGGAGGGAGATCCCAGTTTTTTTCCTGATTTATCACCTAAAAAATAATAATCATTTTATATTGTAATGGAGAATTAGAGTATTGAAGACCCAAATAAACAAGGAAACACACAAAGAAAAAGAAAGAAATACTTACAGTTTAATTTTCAGAGAAGAGCAACATTGAGACGTTCATCCTCAAAATGTTTCTCTACTACAACATCGGTGGTAGCCATGGCGGCGGAATTGTGATGAGATCCATATGAATAATCATTGTTGTTGTTATTATTACTACTATTACTATTACTATTATTGTTCATTTTACTTCCAGTGCTCATAAAATTATCACAACCAATAATAGCACCAAGAAGTTCGTCGAAATTATCTAAGCCCAGCTTATCATTTCTGCATCCACTTGTGCTGTTGTTGGTCACTTTTTTTATCATCTCCACGATTCCAGCCTTGATTCATCTCCATTTTGTTATCATCGTTTTGCCACATATTAAAAACACCAAAAACAAAACAGGATTAAAAGTCAATACCTAGAGACAAGAAGAACAAAAAGAAAATCAACAACAACACACATATAAATGAGCCCATCGAATTAATTTAAATTAATTAAATAATTATTGACTTTAGTAGATCATAAACATGGAAGAATAAGAAAAAATAGATAAAAGGTTAATGAAGTAAATAAATGGAACACACAGAGGTAATCACATTAATGAATAAATAGAAAGAGAAAAAAAGATCGAAAGAAGGAAAGAAATTGAAGAAACGAGATACAATATATTATAAAAAGAAAAAGAGAGGAGAAAGAGAGTGAATGAGATGCTGATGGTAAAATGGTGGATGATCAAGTTGAGAGAGAAAGAGAGAGAGAAAAAAGTAAGAGAAAAACGACCAGAAAAAGAGGGAGAAAATGATATAGAAAGAGAAGAAGCAGAAAAAAATCAACAACACACACATAAGCAAAAATAGAAAGAAAGACAGAGAGAATAAGAGAAATAGACAGAGAAAAGGAAAGAGAGAGAAAGAGCTGAGTAAAAAAAAGAAAATAACATGAAATTGGTAAAGAAAAAAAAACGAAGAATTAAAATGAAAACCTAAAAGAAAACCAGAAGAGATGAGGATAAAAAGATGGACAATGAAGAGAACATTGAAATCAAAAATATTGGATCAAAAGGTTAGAGCAAAAAAAAGAGAATAGAACAGAAAAGAAAAGATAGAAAAGAGAAGATGAAGAAAACAATATTTTCAATAGATCATTTAAATTTTTACTTACTGATTAGAGTAACAATTAGGTTGATGATAGAAGTTAGTTAATGAGGTACATTGAATTAAAGACAATAAAATAAATTAATTGTTTAATAATAATTAGATTTTAGACCAAAAAAAAATAAGAGCAAAGATTTAACTTGAATAAATTGCGAAAGGGAGAAGTGAATAGTAAGAGAAAATAAATTGTCTCTCATGGAAAGAAAATCAAATAGACAGAATAATAGAAAGAAGAAAATGTTGATCTTTCTTTCGATTGACTCGTTGTGCGCATGCGCAGAGAACATTATCCTGCACATTCGCAGTCCGATCCATCAAAATGGCGACTGAGTTTTCGTTGAGAAAATCTAAAATTTTATTTAATTACAAAAGTTATAATTAAAAAGTGAAATAATTAAAATGTCTGATCAACCCCGACAACAGGAAGCTCCCCTGCACCCAAGGGCACCCCCCGAAAAAGTAAGTTCAAAAAAGTAATACGAAAAAACGGTAAAACAAAACTGAACAACCAAAACAGTACAACCTCATTGCAATTCTTTTACTAATAAGTTCAAACGTTCTCTCTACTTCTCCATTCATACACTGAACATTAGTTCCTTTTTCCCGTTATTCTGGCATCTTCACCTGAAGATAAGACGAAATATGAACAAGCGAAATCCAGAGCCACAGAAAATCTTATGATTGGTATTGAAGGAGAACAACGAGAACGAGTAATGCAATTGCTTTCCACGTGCAACCAAGAAACCCTCAAAGAAGATTTTCATCTACTGAAAAAAGCTTATGCAACATCGGTGAACGAGAGATACCTTGCAATACCAAAGAAAGAACTAACTTGGTTCAAGAAGTATCTTATGTTGATGGACAAAGTGCTGAAGGATAAAGCTAAACCCGCTTACACCGCATCTGTGGTCACGGGTGCTGAAACCAACACACCATCCGCTAACACCGCATCTGTGGTCACGGGTGCTGAAACCGACACACCATCCGCTAACACCGTATCTGTGGTCACGGCTTCTGAAACTGATACACCATCCGCTAACACCGTATCTGTGGTCACGGACCCAAACATTACAACGCTGCCTCCTTATGATGTTCTCGTGGATATGAACCCATCAACATCCAGACCAAGTGAATTACAAATTGACACTGACTTCGTAATAGATTTGGCGGGTGCCGAACAACCAAAAAGAAAGAGAGTTAAAGAGTCATTAAACATCTTAAAGAGAAGTAAACAAACTCCGCCTGACTGGTGGCCTTGGTTAGAAAACCGAAGGTATTACAAGATCAACGTCAAAGGCCCACAAAGCCTTCGAACTTCGCAATCCTTAACCGACCATATAGCAACGCTCAAACTTCAGTACTCATTCCGCATCATGTCCTACAGAGACTACTCAATCATTCTACTGAACCAAGAAAACGAAAGAAGCGATATATTGAAAAAACTAAACATCGCTGACTTGAAGTTCGAACCAGTGGAATGGAAGAGACCACGCATTAAATTGGCTTACGTACATCAACCAATAAATGAGAACTGGGATTCATATATAAGCAAGATAATGGCCCTCAACGGATTCCATGAAAAGAATCAATACAAATTAATTCATGTTTACCCTCTGGGCCTTAACACAGATAAATATGGAGTGGTCATCGAGGTCTCCCCGGCGATTAGATCTCAAATAGAGATACGATTAGAAGGGAGAATCTCCACGGGTCGAGCCTACCACAAAGTAAAAGACGATTTCAAAATACTGAACTGCAAGTTATGCCAAAGATTTGGCCACTCGAAAACATATTGCCGAAATCAACTTCGCTGTGAAAAATGTTCGGGGCAACACCTATTAAAAAATTGCAAATCTGTGACAATGCACTGTCCTTCCTGCGGCCAAGATGGCCACAAGGCCTACAGCCAAGAATGTTTAATGTTCAAAAATGAACTTATATTAGCGATCTCGGAGATTGATTACGATTTCGAACATCTCCTCATGTGAAATCGCTAATCCCGATCTGGAGTCACGACCACAAAAGCTCAACCAAATTGAATTAACCGCCACCAGTTACTAAGTAACTAAATGTAACCCAATTAATCACCAATGTAACTTCAACAATTCCCCTTCTTTAAAATTTGTAATTCCTAAACAACAAAAAATGGATTTAGATCCAACTGATTTGATAATAAAATTACTAAATGAAGAATTACTGAATCCCGAATTCATCCGTTGGATTGACAATGATGCCAACACAGTTATTGAAGTTTTCTCTACCCTTGTGAAAAAAGATTTGTCACGATCAGCAGACACAGCCGACCTATCCATCCATGTTCTTAGCGGTCTTACAGTAATAGCCTCGATTTTTGCCCAACAATCACCAAATGAATCAACCATAAAAGTTCTCCGTCAACTATCATCCCTGTTGGAAAACAGAGTCACTGAGAGCCACCAAAGTTTGAACCAAGAAGAAGATGACGAGGAAGACCTCATCACCTCACAAATAATAATCTCTCACAAGAGAGCATATGAATGGAAGATACCAGAAAACATCAAGACCAACATACAAAACAAATCATCAAATCAAGGTACAAAAAAGAATTACTATGAAGTTAAAGCTCCAATCCCGAAACAAACCGCCGTCGACATCCTCAACCTGAATGACCCGGAATTAACAATCTCAGTGATCGACTGGTATCTGATGGAAGCACCAGATCAAACCTCATTATCCCAACAATCAGAATTACTTGAGAAATTCAAAAAAGATAATATTTTATTCAGATTTTATCCAAACCAGGTTACAATGTTTATAAAAAATCAAGAAAAATACATGGAAATGAAGAGACGAAAAGGTGAAATAATTACTTCAGAAGGAAATATAAAATTCACCGGTAAAGCAAGAATCAAATATTGTAAAGATTGCTCAATGACTTTTCAGGGTTACCACCAAATTCATAAATAGAAATTCAGACAAAGTTTGTAATAAACAGTAAATAAAGATGAAGAAACAAAATTGAACAGAGCGTGAATTAAGTTTGTAATTAGCGGTCAATAAAAACGGTGAAATACAAATAAAGAGAACGTGAACTAAGTTTGTAATTAGCGTTTCTCTTTGTTTACAATCCATTCAGATTTCTCTAACTCATAAATAACGAGTGAACCATCAGTATAATTTTCGATTAGGAAACTATCGGGATCGTAAACCTCTCCATTATTAATTTCGAAATAACCTTCGCGAGTTAATAGATTAAGACACGAATGCCAACCATCAAAAATGAAATGACTCTCCTTCTCTCGATACCGATCCCCTTGAGAAACATCATAAGCATCCTTCCAAGTCTTGATCACACTGCTAAACGCAAGTCGACGATACTTATAATCTTCCCCTTTAAAAGAAATACTAATTTTCTCCTCCATCTGGATGAAAAAATCCTCTCGCTTCATTAACGGACCGCAGAGATTGAGAGCCAATAGCTCGGGTAACTTTAAAATCTTAATATCTTCAAGAGACCGGAAGCCACTTCCACAAACAGCACCGTTGACTACCCTTGAACAAGTTAAAGGTACATTATCACCCCAATAGGCAGGTCGAGCTACCAACTCAGACAACAAAATTACCTGAAATTCACCACAAGCGGTACCGGGTAAATTTAACACAGGAAAACTGTACTTGAACGGTTCATCGCCAACACAAAATCGACACCTGAATTGCCCCGAGACATGGAAAAGAAATCGATCATGAAATGATGAATCGTTATTCGCCAACTTTCGGAGCAAATCATGATAAACTC